ACGCAAACAACCCATTCAACAATTTTCTTGCTTGTGCAAAATTCGAAAGTCTGCATGAAGTGGACCTAATTGTTTCAACCTTTTGACCTAATTAATTTTATTTAGTTTGATTTAGCTTGGCTCTATCCCTTTTACCCGTCACTGCAGGCGAAGAAACTATTTTTGGTGCTTCTAAAAAAATTGTTGATTCAAGACAATACAACTTATAATAATGATGGGTTAATCAGCCTAACTATACTTCTTCAGGCAATTTTTCAAGAAACTCAAAATGTGCTAAATTAGTCCACATTTTATCCAAGCTATCTTTCCCAGAAAAAACTGGCAAAATTTTGCTTTTTTATTCCTAGACGAACTAAAATGACTGCTTGTTTGCAAGATCAACACCTCCTCAACTGCTTGAGTTGCTCTTTCTTGTCGGTTGACATTTGTCAAGCATCGTCGCACATTAATATCCGTCTGAGCACTTGAAAATTCTTGAAGTGGGTGAGGTCACGCGTGGTGACGAGCGACGAGCGCTATGAGGGGCCAGATCGTTGAACCGCACACGACTCATTGAGAATCGTCATCGAAGTGAGATATACACTCCCGTAAAGGTCACATTAGCCTCTTTTTCTGCGAATTTGCGTATTTCTGAGCAAAATGACCGAGCGCAAAGGCTACAAGGACCCGCACTTCCCACTAGTGCTAAATCAATGCTTGCTGCCCGTTGGGCAAACAACAACGCCTTCGTGTCTTCGTTGTCCCAATAGGCCAAACAATGGCTGCCGAGCTGCGCGATTGAATATGTTGATTGTTGACGTTTCCAGCTGAGGGATGAGGTGTGAAGAGCGCCGAGGAACATGCTCGGCTTCCTCGTTTCTGAGGCTAAAGTCCGATGGCATAGTGGCACTGGGGCACACAAACCGGTACGACGGCTATCAAGGGGCTTGTTTTGGGGAAAGTGGGAACGGAAATGATAATGGCCCCCCTGACAATGAGATGATGATGGGGACCATTTCTTTTTATAAGAAGGGCGCTTTGTCATCAGTCGTAGTGTGTGGACACTAGTGCTAGCAGGGGTGGGTAGGGACTACTGTGGTAAGGTAGTGTGTGACTATGTATAGGGTTCCCAAACAAGAACGATATGTTGACAAGAAATTCTCGGGTACAGACGGCTACCACCATAGTTTGTTTTGCAAACATGAACGGTCATCCACGCAATGCTTATCTTCTTCTCCACGGTCTTTCCTTACAGATAATTCTACTTTTTTCTTCTAATTTTATCAGTCTAACGAAAAATCTTATTTTTGAATGTTACAGTCATTTAAAAGAGAACTACACCACAACAAATTATACAGGGTGTCCCAAAAAAATGTATCGAACGTTTGATCGTCAGTATCTCTCTTCCGAAGAAGTCTTGAACTCAGCGTCCATAAAAACCCTAATACATAAGTTTTTACATTTTTTAAAAACTTTTGAAACGGCAGCTTTTTCCACATTGACACCATATGTTTCAAGTTTCTACCGTAATCCTACAGTAATGAAGAGAGATGAGTGATTCGTTCTATAATGCAAACCTAAGTTGAAGCCAGTTCTACAGATTGATACCTGAAGCAAGGAAAGGACTTCTTTAGAAGAGAGACATTAACGATCAAACTTTCGATAAATTTTTTTGGGACACCCTGTATAATAGTTGAGGCTGAGCTTGATTTCCAAGTGTTTCTAAAAATTGTCCCAGAAAGGTCTTTTGGTCTTCTATATTACCGCTCTTTTCTTACCGACTAGTAAGATAGGTTATACAAACAAAGAAAGAACTGCTGTTGCACTAATTCATATTCCGGGCCAAGGTTAGTCCCGCAAAAAAAATCCTCAGCAAATTTATGAGTCTGCGATCAAATTAGCCAAGAGAAGGGAGGACTCTATGGCTAGTTTGTGAGAGGATGTACTTTATTGATTTAGACTTCTTGAATCGGGGCAAGAACTAGATGGAATAAATATCGAAAATCAGATACGCAAACATTCACAATCTAACATACGAATTTTTTATCAGGTCCATATAAAAATAAATCCTTTATTAGCTTCATCAATCATCTATTAATGCTGGGCTGCAAACTGTCAAAATCGCTATTCAGCTATCAAATTCCATATTCAGGATCAAGCTATACTGCAAAGTTTTATAAGATTGGTGAACTTGTAACACAAAGAGTCTTTTATTATACCGGAGTATCAATCATCCCATCACCTTCTATATAAAACCTACGTTCAAGTCTTTCTCCCACCTTACCAAGTGTAAAACTGTAATATCTTCGATCATCACTCTGAACCTAGCCAGTAGTTCCGCTATTAGAGTTTCCATCATGATTAACGAGAATTCATTAGTACAAGACAATTTCTATTACTTCTTGCACTGTTCATTACTTCTTGGACACTAGATGCTATCGCGGTTCCTTTATATAAAAAAGGCGCCGCTTTAGATGTTCGGCAGAGACATTAAAAACTTCTTATGTAGTCGTTTCTCCGTTATGAATGCTGTGGCGGTCATGAGATCGGTCAGAACGAGAGGGGATATATGCATTTTAGGGCTAAGGTGTTGTATTTTTTTTTGGGAAGGGATAGGATAGAAGCTGAGATCTTTTGAATTTGGATGATGTCAAAAATAAAAAAGTATGTCAAAATACGATCAAATGAAAGAATCAGAAAAGAAAGCAGACATGCCTTTTTTGGAAGAAGAAATCATGCAATTCCGCGTCGTTGCATTAAGTGTCTGCAACTGCACACTTGTTGGCCATGAATGGCATACCTTCAAAGAATTAGTAAATGCTAATTTAGTGGCTATTTATGGCAGTTAAAAATTCCAAATTTTAAAAGGAACATTTTGTAAATTTTGTAAGATCCCTTGAAAATGGATGGATCCAGTTTTTGACGCGCATAAGGAATGTTGTGTGAAATCGCACATATTAGATACTAAGATACTGGACTGTAAGCATTACGATATGTTTTTTGTGTCCGAGGAGAAGAGCTGGGGAGATTGAGGGATGAATTGGAAAACAGGCGTGTTCAAAAGGGGGGGGGGGGAGGGGATATTAGGAAAATTCATCGGTCATAGTGATATCTTGTGAACAAACTGAGCCTAATAAGATTTGTGAGTTTTTTTTGAGGTTTGCTGCTTTCCCCCCCCCCCCTCGCCTCTAATATGTGAAAGATCTAGAAATTGCCAGTGTTGTTTTATTATTTTTGAACCTCACAACAAAGTTAAGTTTCTCAGTTCTCGAGCAAATTAATTGGCCTCCCAATTTCTTATCCCCAAAACTCCCAAATGCGAAAACATCGCCAGGTTTTCCCGCAATCCACAGGCGTTCTTCTCTCTGTCCGTACTCATTTCCTAGTCACATTAATTTGGCGCAATGTATGGACAGCCGAACATTCCCAAAGGTCCTTCGTGCGCTAACATATGGTAGTGGCCATTGCTTGGTCGTAAAAGATGCAACGCGATAGTTTACAAGCACGAATTCGCCATATGCTAGACGAATGTCGCAACTGGAGTCAACGCCGCAGAAATTTGTGTAATCGCAGAATTTTGCGCTCGAATTCCGGCAGGGGGACGTCGCGTTGAACTGGGAAGACGTTGAACTGACGTTATCATTAGGAATATATTAAGACGAACTCCCCTTTCGTCGCAGGACCTAGATTTGCTTATAGGGATAAATTTTCAAGACTCCTGAGTAGACACCTTACTGAAAAAAGCAAGATATTTGGTCAATATACATGAAAATAACTATAGATTGGTGACTAGGAAGACGAATTAGAGTCGTTGATTTATTTCCCCACAAATTCGATTTCCTGGGTTATCACAGTTTGCCATAGTTGCTATTTTATTCCTTGCTAGCCATTTTAAGCTTTTTTCTTTTTTCTTCTTGCTTTCAAACTTTCTGACTTCTAATGCGTTTCTCTAAGCCACACATATAAATACGTGGAATGTCACAACCAGCAACTTTTCTAGAGGTAAATTTTCGTACATTTTTGTTTGCACAAAGATTGATTGGCCTTAACCAACATCGAAAAGGCAATTCAAATGTCACGGTCTTCTCAAGAAAGTGGATTATTACGCAGCAAAATTCCCTTAGCGATTGTGAAATGCATTTGAAACTGGTTCTTAAGCAAACAAAAAATGTCGGACGCCTTTAATCTTTGTTACACTTCGGTTTTGGGGAAAATCTGCTAGCACGACAAATCATGAAAAAGTGATAGTTTTGGAATTCTATCAGAAGTGACTAGAATTTTTAAATGTAGAGGGGAATTAACCTCACACCTTAGACACCTTCTTCACCTAAAAGATGGGAGGGTAACAAAAAAAAAACGCTAGGATATATCATTCATTCTATGACCGGGAGACGCGCGACCGCATTGCCCACATTGTCTAAACAATCCTAATTGTGTACTTAGCAGGTTCATACTTGTCATTTATCTCGTCCAGGCTCAATCACTCTTTGGAAATAGGGAAGAACAAACTTAAACTTGTTAAGACAATGTCTACAATGCGGTTTCGCGTCTTTTGGTCGTAGAATAGATGGACGGTACGTGTCTTGTAATGCGCGCACTGCTATGTGTGCAATTGCACACATTGCCAGTCAGGAGTAATTCGACTTATCAGGTCAGTGCCTTTCGCTGTGACATGGTGGACTTTCTCGGGCACGTGCGACTTCTATCTATATTTTATGTTATATATGTTCATTTAAATGCTATCAATAATGGGTGAGACATGCTGTGATGGTTCAGAAATTTCGATTTTTCGAAGTCATTTCACATTGACTTGCAAAATTTACCACAGCTTACTATTCCAGCTTTTTCGCTCTCAAATCCTACTCTATGTCCCTATTGTAGTTCCTTCCATTTTCCCCATTCAACACACAAGAGAATCCATCTATTTGTACTGAGGCTTCCGATCCTTGGCACTTCTTATCCATCATTTCCCTCTCTAAAACATTTAATCCATCACTTGCAAAGTTTTTTCGTCGTTTCAGCGAGGAAGAACTCAATCATGCATTGTCTGCAGAAGACGCTCGACTTCACGAAGACCTATCCAGCTCGCTTGAGGTCCGTTCCTAATCGATAGTCAGCTGCATTATCCATTGTGCAAATGCACTAAAGCTGCGATTTTCCAGGATTTGGTGGGAAATTTCGACGAGCGAATTAGTTCGTGTTTGAAAAATCCAGATGTGAACACCGAGGACATTGCACCTGTGCAAGTTCGAACTCAAGATGAAGTAATGGCCGAGAGCCAGTGAGTTTTTACCCAAAATTTGCAGAATTAGGTCATATTCAAGCAAAATTGGGAATTGTCGCCAAAAATCTTGTTTTATTTTACACGCTTAAGCAGAAATTATTTCATAGGAAGAGAGAAAATTAAGTAATTTACAATGTTTTGCCGATAACGCCCACTTATCGATTTTCCCGCCCGGACCAGCGCTTGCACCCTCCTCATATTCTATGCTCTCTCGCGTTCTCTGGCGCCACTGTGAAAACTCGTCCGCCAAAGCTTGCAGAGTCCTACAAATCCTCATTTTCTGAAAAACGTAAAACAAGACAAGTGCATCGCTTCAGCTTGCTTTTTTCATGTGATAGTCACTCAAAGCTCGTCAAAAGCCTTCAAAATTGACAGCTTTTACTGGCAGGAGGTCAGGGAAAGCTGCAGGGGTAAAAATATGCCAGAGTTTATTTCGGGGCTTTCTGTTGCTTAAAGGGATGTTCCACGAATATCTGCGCTTTCCCCCCCCCCCTATTCCTAGAAAAATCATATCATATGATACTGCAGAACAATTTCGCGCGAAAAAAGACCAGATTTCTAATTTTCGCGCAATTTGGTGCTGTCGTGCAATCGCACAAGTTTGCCGCAAAATCAGCGAATTCATAGTACATAGTCAAAACGCTTGCACTAAGCATGCCATTTTCTGGGACGATATTAAAGACAAGGCCGAGGGTGTTCGTTCCTCATTTTCTGCTTCCTTTAACTCCCCTCCCCCCCCCCTTCTGGCTTTAATTTTTTTTGAATAAAATTTCTTCTGTTTGACAAGATATTGATATAATGTATACGGAACGGTGCTATACATCGGCTAAGCGGATACAAGGGGCTTCACCGTCCCGTCACATTTCAATGAATTGCGCGATGGCGGATGAGTGGGGTGATGGTGATAAACAAAAACGCGTGCTAGCCGATCGACGCTCGACTCCGATGTTTTTCCGCAGCTTCAGCGAACGCCATCGAAAGCGCATAAAATCCTTGCAGCACTCAGCGCGGCGCTGCACATGTCTCATGCATTTCTTGCAAGCGCTGAGCGCTTGTGGAGCTTCGAGGGAACGCATGGGGATACAATTTTGATTCCTGAGGTTTGGGAGGAAAACAAAACGAGTGTTCAGAAATATGTGGAAAATAATACAATTTTTAGTAAGTGCAGCGTTATCAGCGTCGTTGAGGTTATTTCTAGGGAAAAAAGTTAGCTATAAGCTTGTTGGAGCCTTTCTGACTTCTATACCATGATTCTTCAGCAATTTATTGGCACATACTCAGGCAACCGGAACTTCGCAAAACGCTTGGGAAAGTTCCGCCGGGTCACCCGCGGAAGTTCCGCAAATGTGCTGCGGAAGTTCCGAAGAACGCTGACCACAACTGCAAACGAGAGCATACGCGAGATTTGAATCTCACTCTATGACTGCTACTATCCTCTGATCACTATGTTCGGCAATACATTCTAGCTGCTGGCGAGGCAACATCGTTAAAAACAACACGTTCAAAAACCTGCGGAAGTACTGGCATGTCAAAGTGCTGCGGAACCGTTGGCATTTTTCGGAAGTTCCGCAGCGCTTTGTAAAAAGTCCTGAATTGTCCCCGTTTTCATCCAGTCTAACGCTAAAATCCTGCGAAAGTTACCATTTGCATTTTGTTTTACTTTTGCAGTAGTAAAAAAATCTGGCGGTGCCGCTGCACTTTTTGTCTGTCTTGCGGAAGTTCCGGTGAATTGTCTGAGTAGAATCTGTATGGGATCGATCTACCATTCTGCCATAATTTTTCAGCGGCGGAAAGGCTCGTGGGACTCTTCTACCGTACTCCTACAGTAATATAATTAAAACTGATCGGTGATTCTCTGCTATGCAAATCTAACTAGCTAACAAACTTATCTGCATATTACGGTGTCTTGTGGCCCGTACGATGCAAGAGAACAATCTTTTTCGAACATGCTTTGCTTGTTACACGCTTACCGTACCCATACCGTACCATTTTATTTGTAGCCAGATAGGCAGCGAAGGATAGTTTAGCTCTGGGAACTGAAATTTTGTGATTGTCTGAAAATCTATAGTCACGTCATTTGTGATACAGTATGTATCTGCACTCTGCGCATCCTACCTCACGACTTTTTGAGTGGCAATTTCGAGAACTATTTAATACAGATAACTGCTGGAGTTGATTACTCACATATCTCTGCACCAGCTTCTGTAAAAAAGAAGAGAAGCAGATGACCTTTCTAGAAGTTTATGACTTGTCACGCAGATGTCGTAGGATGCCGCACGTGGTGTGCAGTACACATATCGAATTACAAATGGTTTGCATGAATGTCGCTGGGGGGGGGGGGGGTGTTATAATTTTTTCAGCGTACGTGAGCACGTGAGCTTACCTTACCGTAGTACATAGCACGTCTTCAAAAAATCGTACGACGAACTTCTGGATTTTTTTAAACACATAAAAAATGTCACAAAGGCGAGTTATTTAGGGTATGCAGCTGATGCTACAAATTTTACACGCTAATGAACTGGATTGTACTGCGACTACATCCCAAAATAGTTTTACTTATATACTATACAGTATGAACTACAGTACCATCAACTCATTATCTTTGTTCCGCATAAAGCGAGAGAAAACTGCGAACCATCGCTAATGAGATGTTAAAGCCTCGAACAGTTTTTGCAATCTCAAGTGCTCTAGCGCAACGATGGGCATCACGAAACAAAGAGAAAAGCCATTCTCATGAGTATTTGATGGTGCTTTAGTTGGAGAGGTTTTGACCACTTAAAGAAGTTTTTGCGTACCGTCGGAGACTAGAAAAAACATAATTTCCGAAGTGGGATGAACCTCTGCTCAAACTTTGCGCTTTTTAATTCGTTCGTGACTTCAAGATAAAATCGGTTTGGACCAAGCAATCACTGAGCGCTTAAACAGAAGAATTTGAATGAATTTGGTTTCTTGAATTTGATTTCGTGGTCGATGCTCCATTTTTCTTTTGATTCAGCGATGCACATGATAATTGCATCTATTCTTTTTCCTTGAATTGGATGGAAAATGGCAAAACCTAGATTTTCCGGTTCCAGAAGCTTAAGACTAAAATATATAATAATAGAAAGCCAGTCTAGGAATGACTGAACATTTCTTTTTGTAAGCGATGAGAAATGCTCAGGTTTTGTCCAGAACATCTGAAACTACTGTATTCAATAAACAAACGAGGTGTCATGGTTTTATTTGTTTTTGTAAGACCCACACAGTCATTGCTCAGTTTGGAAAAGCTCAAGAAATGATTTAGTATTTTGACATTATTCAGTCCCTCCAAAACGCTAACGTTTGTTTAAAACCATATTATGTGCCTACCACTTACACAGATGTCATGAAAGCACCAAAAGATTGGGGGAGAGTTTAGCCTTGATTTTGGAACGACTGGCGAATCAAAATTTACATTTTTTGGATTTTTCGATAGGTGGTAATTGTTTTAATGTTACTGAAACCATTAGGAAAGTAATGCAATGTGTCTTTTGTAATTATGAAAGCATTTTGAGAGAAGAAAGACAGCAAGCAATAAATGGTTGCTGGGTTTGTGAAAATAAAAATAAAGATTAAAAATAAAAATAGAAATTTTTGGTGTTCATTTTCGTTTGTAAAGTGGTGGCCATAGCACTATTTAAGTTTTGCGCCCCAGTTAAGTTCACGCACAAACGTTGTCGATACCGCAGGGGCACTATATTATCCTATGCTGAACTATACTGGAATGATATCCACGAAAGTCCACAATGGAGGAAAATGGACTTTCAAGCCCCATTTTATTCGTTCGCGGTAGAAATTGGTCGGAATCTGCTTTCGCTCGCGTTATCCAAAAATTTTCATCCCATCGCAACCATGAGGCAAAGCGGTGAAATGAAAATGATTTAACCCTACCTGAGCTTTCGCTTGCGAAATGATGACGTCAAAAGTCCATTTAGAATGGGGCAAAATGGGATTTACCTCCATTTTAAATGGACTTGAAAGCCCATTTTACTCCCAGCAGCAAGGTGAGCTGGGACTAAGCCCATTTTTGACCTTTTTGCATATTTTTGATTGCGATTTTTTGGGAATGTGTTCCTCAACCTATCCTAAGGTAATAGGTGAGTGGGAAAAGTTTCGTGTATTTTATGAAGTCTGAAATAAGTGTTTCTTTCTAAACTCATAGAAACGCTATAAAAACATAGAAAAAGATTAAATTCACCCAAATATTCGCTAACAAACCCAAATGCTTTTTAATATCAGTTCAATCAGAAAATTCTTATGTAAAACAAATAAAGTTTGTTAACTCTTCAAATCATCAACCAAAACCAAATTCATGATTTGTAATCTAAAATTTGAAAAAAATTATACTTCAATGTGATTACTTAGAAGCTATCTTTGGCTAATTTCGTAGAACTGAACCTCAGAGACGGCATTTTAAACGCAAATTTTGAGTTTGGTCCGCAAGAATTACTGAAGTGCCGCTAGCTAGCTAGAGAAATTCCGTAAAAAATTTCTTACTAGATTAGTCCATACATTCAACTCCTTAGAGTTACAAATATTAGTGCTGAAAGACAAAGAAAAGCTAATATAGAGCACTTGCGAAGTCATCTTTTGGGATTCAAAGTTTTTGCGATTTGAAAAACCCTTTGAGTTGTAGTGTGGTACAAGGTTTCTTGTAAGGAGCATTTTGGTTCACAGATTGCAGTGCAACTCCAGCCAAAGTTTGCTTTTTGCAGAAATCTCCACATACGAATTCGATTTAATGCTGATTCGTAGAAGTTTTGAAGCGAAGGTCCGGATATTACATGAATTTTAGTCTTGGAAGTGATTTAGATGCATAGTCATCGATAACGATTGGCATTCTGTTAGGTGTAACGAAGTGGGAAAGAATAGAATAGCCACTTGAGTGACATTGTAATGTTAGGTCAGCCTAGTTAGATATCGACCACTTGTTGAAAATGAGTTTGCAAGAGTGAGCAAAGAGGTTGAGACAAGTTGGAGAAAGGTTAGTTGAAGCATTTTTGTATGGAATGAATGTATTCGCGAATGCGATATCTTATCGCACCGCATGGACTAAGTCCATTTTATTCGCACGAAAATCCCATTTCGCGGGGACTTTCGTGGATATCATTCCTGACTACATGTCTGTTTGTCGAAAGCAACTTCAGCAGTTGTGCAGAACTTGCAAATTCAAAATTTGTTGTTATTTTTGCCATAGCATAACGCCAGATGTGCCAGTGTTGTTCCAGTTCCACCTGGTTGTCGTCACCCAAACACACGCACATAAACAAACTTTTATTGCTGCCAGGGCATTGTTCGACGTCGCCACTTCGACATCGGGGTCCGTGCAAGTTCCATGCGCCCCGGGGGAGTATACACTGCAGTGACGAAGCATCACTGGCCAGTGTATAATAGTCGCATTAGCCGAGAGCCGTCGCCAAATGCAATTGTTCAGCGTGTGTTTCGCGGCGGGACGACTAGCCGCCGTCCATTAACATGAACCCGGTCGAGGTCAACTGGATTATGGGGGATCCGCTAGGGATTATTGGAGCCAGCGTTTAGATGTTTATGTGGTGGCCACAGACCCTTTTGAGATCACATCTAAATGCGCATATGGAGATGGATTACTGTGATGTGACGACAGTAATCCTTTAGCGCTTTAGCAGACTGTAAACAACGCTGTGATATAAATATTGGAAGTGTATAAGCCGTGTGAAAATGTTTTGTGGGGACCAAATGTGAAGCAGCTGTCAAGTCATGTTACCTTGATCGCTCATTGTTTTGCATTTGTTTATGGAGAAACACAAAACAAAAGTATTTGGTAACTTGACCCTTCGAAAAAGCAAAATAACATGTCCATATGCTTTGACATTGCTAAATTGTTTTGCAAGGCCAAAGTAGATTAAATGAGGTTGAAGTAGAACTTTCAAAAGACAATGAAAAAGAAAACCGAACTTGCAATCACTAAGGGTAGCTGCGGCATGCTATGCATTCATTTTTTCCTACTACGGGAAGAGTTCAATGCTTGTTTCCCATACGAAGAGATTTTGAAATATGTGACAAGGAAAGCGGAGGTTTGTGAGGCACAATATAAGAAGCTATAGATGTAGGTCTCCGGTTTAAATTAATTTTACTGCTTGGGTTGGTAAATCTGTAACATCTTTACCTGGCCGTCCCTATTTTTCAAATGATTTGTTTGGCCCCTTTTGGCGGTGCATAGTTAATCTGGTTATTGGCTCTGCATTTTAAAGGTGTTCGTTCCACTTCCCACAAGAAATCACGGTTCTGATTTTGTATGAGGGTGTAGGGCATTCAGGAGATCGGGTACATAGTAATAGTAGCATAAATTTTTTCTTCGAAGAAACCTTATATGTTTTTTTTTATTTTGAAGCGTCAGCCACATTTCCGAAAGATTTCGTTGAAATTTCGATGTTTTGCGAGCATTTCAGAGCTCTTGGAAAAGGATCTTTTACGGACGAACCCAGAAGTATTTTTGTAATTGTACGATTTGAATCATTTTGCATTTTGACAAGTAATTTGTGTAACAATGATCTGCTGTTTTTTTTGGCAAGGACTAACAGATTAGGCAAATCATATTTATTCTCATGAAATCGATTCCTTATAGTTTTCATAGATCTGCTGTTTTCTAAAGTTTTTTTTCTAAGAAGTCTTTATGAAAACTACAAGGAATCGATTTCATGAGAATAAATATGATTTGCTAATCTGCTAGTCATTGCCATCGTCATTCGCAGTAGAGGTATTTTATTTTTATGTAATCGAGCAGACACCAGTCGCTGTCTTATAGTCTTCACCTTTTAAAGATTGCTGTCAAAATTGCTAATTCCATTGTTTTAGAATCACTTATTGTAATATTATTTTTGCTTTATGACTTCCAAGCGTGGACGTGAACGCCGTTGGCAGTAAAACATAATATCATTTTCCTGTCTCAAACAATTTCAAGGGGAAGCATGCTAGGCAATTTATGTTTTTCGAACAAATGAAAAGCAGCGATGCAAGCGAAAATCCTCTGCCAGTCTGTTTCGCAACTCGCAATAAAATCGAAATAAAGCTCTTGCTAAGCCACATTCATTAAGCTGGCCGTATCGAATGCAAGTGCTTGATTACGGTATTGATAGTTTCGTTTCATTTCCTTGAATTATCAGGTTGGCTATCAAATAAATGGCTCTTGAGGGTTCTACAAAGACTGCAGACGAATTTTTGTCCAGTTTATGATGCTTTAATAATGCTCTTTCCGGTGTTTATATTACCGGAAAGAGCATTATTATGAAATTGGAATGAATGCTGGAATAGAATATATTTCCCTATGAAAAAGGCGCAAAGTAATGGGAAACCCCAATTCTCTAATTTGTGCGCAAATGTGAAATTTTTCAGTCAAAAAAATCCAAAATAAATCATGGATATTATTGTTATTCGCAAAAGAGAGAAAACATGTTTGTATCCGCATATTAAATTACTCATTTATATAATACATCTCAGCATGAAAAGGAAATTTAGAAAGTTTTGAACTGTGTTTTCAAAAATTTAGCCATATCGGGGCATAACAGTCCTTTGCTGGTAGTAGGTGATTTTGAGTAGGATATGTGATAGCAAAACTTTGAATTTCTTCCCTTCTAAAAATCATAGGTAAAAGATAGCATGAAATTTTTTACGAACTTATTTTTTTGGCCAACCTATTAATTTCTTATTCTAGAACATGGTGGACGTTGACGTGCAATTTCGGCAATATTCAACCGCTTGACTTCGACAAGTCGGCCATTCGACGACGTATGATGCCTGCATTGGATCTCAAGGAGAGAAAGGTTTGTTCCTTCAGTCATAGCCATAGCTATCCAATCCATGCTTTCACATGCCCTCATCTATTTTCTCAGCCATATCCTCTGCTGTCTTTATGTGCTTTTCGGGGTCAAAGGCTTTCGCTATTAGAAGCTTTTAGTAGCCACGGAGAGACATTTTGCTTAATGTCTTGTTTTTCTTATTTTATGGAGGGAAAAATAATAACGAACGGAAAGAATAATGAACCATACTATTAGCAGCCATGTTCTATTGTGTATGTGGGAGAAATAGGAAATAGAAATTGCTTGTAATCTCTGGGAAAATTGCTTGTTGTGAAACGCTTGCCTAATGCAAGTCTCTCACGCTATGCATTGCATTTCCCGACAAGCAATTAATCTACAATGGATTCCACTCAAGACAAGCTTCGAGTTGCCCAGGGGACACAAGAGTTATTGACAGGGAAGATTTGAGCGCTTTTATGGAGTGAATCATTTTCAATCGAAATATATTAGCTTAGTCATTTCTTTCCTTTCCATAGACATCGAGATTCGGTTTCTTGGCCTTTCCCGGAAGTTGAAAATTCCATGCCTGAAAAAATTCATGTATGCACATTTATTTGTTTGTTTGATTGGTACATCGCATTAACATGCCATCTCATAAAATCAATGTCTTTCTCATAAAAATGCCACGAAATGATGGAATGATCCAGAAAATTAGGGGCAAAGTTTGGGGTGAAAATTGGTCAGACTTTGGCTGCAGTTTTATAATAATACTTACTGCTGTTAAAGTCAATTTGCTTGTTCTACCATTAGTGACCAGTGTTTTTATTCGTATTGATCTTACAACTCAAATTTGTAACATCAATGCAGAAATCTTGATACCACAAAATGTCGGCGCCCTTAAACCTTTTACGTACCATATCAGCAAGAATCGAGGTTGAAAACCCTATCCGAAACTTTGTGTGCACTGTTTCTTGACTAAAAAACTCACCGTCCTTATTCCAACTCTTATCTCAGAAGAGATTCCTGCAATTTTGACGTCACTCTAACAGCCATATATTAGGTTGTCCCCAAAAACTTATAAATAACTCAGGCTGTTTTTGCTTTCCTAATAGGCTTAGGGCATCGATAGAGCAGATCTTGCTTTATAGAATGACCAGATCTACCTAAGTCGCATTCCATTTGAAGTTTGAAGCCAAAATCAAAAAAATTGTCACCTCGAAATTGGATCTTTGCGAGAAAAAATCGTACGGATCTCCAACTTGTTAAGTTCAGCAGGCACATAGTACAATAGCACTCAAATATGCCTTTATTGGATTTTCTCTACGGGTAGAAAACGAGAAAAAAAGATGTCCCAAAAATGGCAAACTCCGCCCCAGCCCCTATCACATATGTCATTGTATCCTACAAGCCTTGCTAAGTATGATCGCGAAAGCTTATCCCTGTAGGTGCTCTTATAATTGAGAAATTTCAAATTTTACAGAAAAATCGAAAAAAGTGGCATTTTGGCTTTTTCGGAACATCTTTGTTTCTCATTTTAATGCCATGAAAAAATCCACCAAATAAATTCTTGGGTAATTCTATGTATTCGTTATATAAAGACCAAGTTGGAGGTCGGGAGGAGATGCGATTTTTAGAGTAGCTGAAAAATTTTGGTTTTTGGCTCGAAACTCTGCCTGAAGATTTTAGGTGAACTTTTGGTGGTCTTTTTGTAGAGCTTGCTCCGTTCTATCGAATGGTACCCTAAGTCTGTTAGGGAAACAAGGACAGCTCATTTTATTTGGAAAAGGAGTTCACTATTGAAACAACTAATAAAATGTCACGAAAATGTGAGATTCGGGTCAAATTCTGAATGCTCCGAATTATCAGTTTCTTAGTGATGGTAAACTAGTTGTGTTTCACGATGCATGTTTAGTTATGTACCGTGGGAACCATGGAAACCTGCTTTAGAGTTCCATTATAGAATTTACTACACCGTGTAATTTCCCAAAAAGTCTTTCGACGTTCATTTTCAAAAATGATATGGCAACAAAATGAAGCTTTTGTGGATTTTCTGCCGTAAACTGGGCAATATACTCTATCAAATCGTTTGTAAGAAAATGGTTTAGACACAATTACTCACCATCAGGCATTGCTGAAGTTTCATAGATTTTTTTATGTGTATTAAGCAAAAGCTATAAGGCGGATATATAGTTCTCCCAAAAAATTGTGTCTAAACAAATAGTGCAAGTGCATTTTTACTTCAGTCTATATAAAACCGGAAATAAATCGTAGAAGGCTTCTTGTGCCGTTCTATTATAAATTGCTCTTATGAAAGCTGCGGCTCTATATTTTTGAGACGAAGTCTTCTAATGAGGCTAGCCTTCACAGCATTTTTTATAACAAAGCAGCTCTCCTGAAGTGGCGAAAATGATTGACGTCTAGTCCCAGAAGTTTTCTCAGTGCTCTACAGCTGGCCTTCCTTAGCTGGCTTTACAGCTGTCGTTGGAAAATTTCTTTCATTTTCAGTCATTTTGAGAAAACGGAATAATTTTGGTTATATGGAATCTCTTTTATCCTCTATCCTTTTTATCGATTTTTCCTAGTAAAGCTCCTATAGCGCTCATAATTTCTGTCTGCTAGCTGTTTACGTCCAACAGTTGGTGCTTCTAATTGAATTTCGCGCCTATTCGCGACTTCGGATTTCAAGGGAAGCAAGTATGACGTCATTTTTCGTCTCTGTATGCATATTGGCCTTAGAGCACGTTATTCAAACATGTACAGCAAAAAATCAAATTTGCCCTTTGTCTTTCGAATTACTTAAGCCAGTAGAGAGGAGTGAGGGCCTTTGGTGAATATCTTCTGCGTCAGAGGGGGAAGGAGGGGGGGGGGGGGGAGAATAAGGCCCTAGAGCCCTGAGGCTGCTTCGGTGTGATGTTATGCTGAGTGTGTACTTCAATCGATGCCGCCTATGCCTGTCTAACTCGCAGCCTCGAAGACCTCCGACCACGCCCCATGCTCATTCTCGGCAGGAATTTTTTAATTTCTTATTTTTTGATTTTTATTTCACCCCATCACTCTAAGGAGGGGGGCGCGAAATGCTGTCGATGGCCAGATATGAAATGAAATACGATGAAATGGGTGTGAAGTTAATATGCAGTTCTTTTAACTTTTTTCGCACCAAAGGCATTTTTTGTGATTTTTTATGAAAAGGGGTAAGCGGTAACAGATATGGAACCAAAATTACCAACACTAATACTTCTTCGGAGTCAGATGACTCTTAAGTATTATGATAACAATACTTGTTCAATATATCTCTCGCTGCTCAAACCTTTACACGAGGAATAATCTTTGATTATGTGGTGGCAAAAAAATTCGACTTTTACAAAATTTGAGCCAATATTCTTTTCTGCAAAACACTAGAACCAGTGTTTCAACAAATCGTTTTCTTGCCACTAATTTTTGGTTTTTGAATATTGATTTTGTTTTATGATGCACAGTTTTGTTCATTTTGCATTCAGATAAGGAGTCCTAAATTACATCACTGGTGTTTTAGGGAAACCACAATGATTTTTTTAGACAGAAATTTCGGTTTCATATGGTTTATATTTTGCAAACAGTGGTGAGCGCTGTTGTTGATCCCGTACCTGTGCTATGTCTGGTAATATCAGTCTTGATATCTCAATACAAACTAGAATTTTGCATTGCAAATTTGCGTAAAAAATCGTTTTTGAGTCTTTAGCTTTTTGCCTTGAAGGATTGTGCAAAAATAAAAATAGAGCAGTGTGTTTTCCACAATCGCAAAGCTATTGAAGTTTATAATCCCAGAATCAAATGTTTGAACCATATTGCCCAGGGCACAATAACGCCCACTTTTTTTGCTATCTGCTCCAATCTCGTTGCCAGCACACGTGGTCTAACTTATCTATCTAATATATAAAAAAAACATAGCGCCTATTCGGAAATCATCAAATAGCGGGAAACCGCGGTGCGGTCCCGAAGTGCAAATTGCAAATTGCAATATGCAAATTTAGCACCTTTAATTACTGTTCACTATTTTAATATTAGGTCATTCCGAAAGTAATTTCACTTTCTTCAAACGGGCGCAACATTTGTTCGAACAAAGATTTCTAAGAGATTTTGGAAGCATTCTATGCAGAATTTCATTCTCTTTCCAATGGTTATGAAACTCTTGCAAAACAGTCAATGAGCTTTCAGAAAATAACCAAAATTTGCGACCCACGCTTTTTGAGATGGTCGTGTTTCACGATTTTTTTAAACTTTCATATCAATCCTCAGAAGAAGTTCAAGTAAAGATTCGATAGAGTAAACCTTATAGAATACAGTACTGCTTTTTCCTCATTTCCATAGCTTGTCATGAATTTTTAACAGAATTTTAACTGACGCTACCGATTTCCATACTTGGGCAGCTAAATCCTCGTAGAACATCAAAAGAAGAGCAGCTCGCGCACTATTCGATGCAGCATTTTCTCCTCTTTCTAACAGGTGTTTTTTGTTTCCGATTCGTTCAGCTTCCTAGGATAAAATCATCATAAGTCATTTTTTTAGCGAGTCTCAGGCTGTACCAGAAAAACTCGAAATTTGATATTTCGAACCCGTAAACCCTCACTTGCTTTGTAAAACCAATATTAAATCATATACTGGATCTTGGAAGTTTCAAATTCCGAATAATTACCGTTGTTTCATGCGATTGTGGTTGACGTAGGCCTGCCAAAATCCGATGGTTTTCTTAAAATCTTTTAAAAAATTACGGGGAGCTAGGAAAAAGAGAAAAAAGTAGTGCTGTTTCTATAAGGTTTACTCTATCGAATCGTTACTTAAACTCCTTCTGAGGATTGATATGAAAGTTTTGAAATATTGTGAAACTTGACCATCTCAAAAAGCATGGGTCGCAAATTTTGGTTATTTTCTGAAAGCTCTTTGACTGTTTTGCAAAAATTTCATAACCACTAGAAAGGAAATGAAATTCTGCATCGAATGCTTCCAAGATCTCTTAGAAACCTTTGTTCGATCAAAGGTTGCGCCCGTTTGAAAAAAGCGAAATTACTTTCGGAATGACCTAATATATAAAGAATCGTCGGCTCAATTCAAAATCTTCCAACAGCGGGAAACCGCGGCGGTCCCAAAGCGAACGCTCTGACTCCTGGTTCAGTAGGCAAAATAAACCACCCATCAAAAAACCGGTCGAAGGATCAGTCTGATATCCTTGAGCTGAAACCGGACGTTTTAGGAAGAATGAACTTTGCTCTGTGCATGCACTAATTTTTCTATATGCTTTTATAGGTTCAAAGCTTGGATCCGCTGTCAAAAAGCAATCGATTTTACATCAGTAGTGTAATCAATGTGCACTGCGTTAGTACGCTGCAACATCATTCGATTCATCAAAACGCTCAAAGAAATGAATAAATAAATAAATAATACTTAAACAAAAATTTTTACCCTCAAAGAGTGATCAGCAGTTTCATTGTCACCAACATCTGAATATGGTTTTAGTCTTCTTTCAATGAATAACAGTTTCATTGTCAACAAATTCTGAATATGATTTTAGTCTTCTTTCAATGAATTCATTTTCCCCTAAATACGGAAGAAAATCCATTAGTTGCCAGCAAGTTGCTGAAGAATAGAATGAACGTCAATGGCAGCTTTCACGTCACCGTAGTGACGCATTCTATTCAGGAGGCTTTCGTAATCCTTGAAAAAGTAAACGCCTTCGTAAAACAGAAGTTGCAGAAATAAATCATCATCAACAAATTTTTTTCCTTCAAGATGCTCTTGTTATGAATGTTTCATGTGGAAAAAGCACTATCCTAAAAGATATAGAATAAGTTGTACATGTCGATTTTCTCTCGCGCAAAGAACGACTGAAGTATGTGAATAAGAATGGAACTCTAAGAAAAGAGTAAGTTTACGAAATTCGAAACCTTCCCATTGCATAGCTTTCGTTATGTGCACATACACGAACCCCAGCTCCTCTTTCTATTCCACAATTGCTTTACCAGTTTTCAGCTAGAAAACTCTGCTGTGAGTTCAAATTTTGGACCATTGCTAAGTGGTTTTCCAGAAAATATCACCAATTTTGCCTGTTGCTTAGAAAATACAGGAGAAGGTAACGTAAGAATGCCGAGACCCCAGACTATCGACTACTGGAACAATTCTGTAAAACCCATATATTTTTCTGTATAAGAATTATCGGATAAACATATTGGTTAGTGGCGGTCCGAGAAATCTTGTTTTTCTTGTGGGGGGGGGGGGGGGGGAGGAGTTGAGGGGACAGTAATATTGTTGAATGAAGGAGGGCCGCGGCGTTGGTCGTTCCCGAAAAACTTTTCACCAATTCGGAATTTTTAGAAACTTCGAAAATTCATTTCTGTTAGTCATAATTTAAAAAAACACTGGCACAATTTTATAGCTCATGTAGGCAATTTTCGTACACCCCCCCCCCACCTTTCTTCGAGCGCTCTTCTTTGAGATGATTAATCTAATGAATACGCATCGGTTACACACAACATGAGAGTCGTAGGCTTACCCATTCATTAGCGGTCCAACCGAAATTCAATTATCCTCTTCGGCCTACTCAACATTTATCGCCTGAAGGGACCATATCCGACCCTTCGATTGTTTGTGCTTGGGAATATCATATCCGGGAAGCATTCATAAGGCGTAGTACGTTTGGGAGGAAGGAAGAGCAAAGCGGGGGGGGAGTAAAACAATAAATGCAAAAATAAAAATTCTTGCCTCAAAAATCTTTGCTCATGCCATTAAAGATAAAGTGTTGTAATACCGCGCCTATTCTTGTGTAATTCAGATGAAGGAATATTCAAACAAGTTGCGAAATTTTCATTTTTTCTGAATGCGTGGGGCAGAGAAGCATCGTTTTTTTTTGTTATGAAGTAGGTTGTTCTATCTATACCCCCTCAGTTTCGTTCTGACTAATCTATCACCGCCTCCAAGCTTTCCCAAACTTTTTAGGGATATATGCTCTTGCTCAGATTTATCAAAGCAGAGATAGATGGCCACTTTTTCTGGGATCTTCCATATATGTGGAAATATAGGCCAATTTTGGAATTTACTCTCCTAATTTCGTCGTGATCGTAGCAATGTCGCTTCGAAAATTTTCAGCTTCTTTGGGTTCTGTGTAACACTTAATTTTTCAAATGTTTTATTTGTAGGTTCACCATATCTTTATCATCCAGTCAGCAGTCTAGTTTTCTATTTCGTTTGCTCTAAACGCTTTGAGAATTGCTACAAAAATTGAGTTCGAGCATAAATTCACGGACTAACAACTCTTGATGAGAAAAGAAAAACACAATAAGAGTAAATATTATAATTTAGGTCTAGAGTTGATCGTAACAAAATTTTTATAAGACTAGTTTGCTCAGACGTTGCTAGGAAAATAAGAAATCGTTGGGGTTTAGATTGATTGTATAACTAGTATTTTATCAAAAAACAAACCTAAAAATACACAAAAAATTCTTAAGAAAAATAGTCTGAAGGATTTGAGATTTTTGAAATGATAAATAAGTAAAATCATCATACATTGTTTTCAACTTTACTAGATATTCTTCAAAGTTTTCTGGTACTCTAAGAGAAGTTTGTTTGAACTTGTTGTAATCAGAAAATGCTTGTTATTGATGGGTTTTTTTGCACATAAGTATGACTAAATTGATTCTTCTTGTATTTTTCTTTTGAGAACTCCTTAAGCAAAATTCCATCAAAGTGAGGGCAAAGTCATTTCTTTCGAAAGTCTCTCCGCTTGAAAGCCCCGAGAGATAGATTTCGAAATGGTGTTCTGGATGCTTAATGACCGTCATGCATGCGTTGTGCCCATAGGGGCTTCACTAATCCCACACATAGTTCCATACCTCATCGATTCCCACAGCAGAAGAGTTCTGCACAGAAAAAATGTGATGACGCTGAAAGCATTTCAGATGCTTTGCTCTTTTTGATTTTTGTGATTCGAATGAGGGATTTCGGAAAAAAAGAATGGAGTGAAATTCAATGCTGTGATCTCCGCAGAGAATTCTAATGGGGTTTCTTGACATACAATCTCAAAAAGTTTCCTGGAAATTTGAGAAATGAAGCTGATATTTTTCTTGGTGAGGAACACAGATTTAGTTACTGATAAAATATTTCAATGTGTTTGAAATTCTCTGTCTCTGAATTCAACCTGTTTTTTTTTTCAGGATTATTTCCGCAATTCAAGTATTTTGTAGTAGAAATTCAACTTATTTTTAGTAAATTAAGGTTTGGGGATTTACCGATTAAGTAACCTAGTACAACCACTGATGATGAATTATTTTGTTTTGTTGAAAAAAATATCACTTCCGTCCATCTGAAATTCTTTACTCCTTCTGTCCTTATCAGATATCGTCTCAACTTTCGGAAAAAAATCAAGAACAGGCTATCTCGCTTTATTTTCACATGTGTTGGAATTTTTGATTATATATTCGGTTACTTCCGCATCTAATAGACGGTTTGAATTACCGTAACCTTTTCTATAATCAAGACCTATGCGCATAATCTAGAAATAGTTATTTCTTTAAAAAAAAAATGAGCTTCGTGTTATTGTGGATTGCCCTATAACCCTATTGCCCTGTATTTGCTAATCAATTCTTCCCCCATTGATGTAACCTGCTTAATGTGAAGTATGTCATACTTTGGAGTGTCTGCTTCAAAAAGGAATCACGAGCGCCCCTTTTCGAAGCCCGCAAATATTCTTTTCGAGTTTATTGGCCTCATCATCGAATGTTTATGTATTGATTGCCTCCAATATAAACTGGTGTTCCGGCATCATTCTTGAACTGAGAATTGCTGTAAAAAATTCTTTTGTGAATGATCCCAACAGCAAGGTCTTTTCGTCGTTCAATGTTATCTCGAATACATAGATTAGCTACGTTAATCTAGCTTTCGCAAGCGTTCTCGTAAGGATTTTTGCTCCCTCGGGAAATAGGCCGGGACTTCTTAGTCATCCAATGTCCTTCTCTGCAGTTTTGAAACTTCTGTTTGTCTGTGAAGAATCAATTTTTGTTGAGAGTTATTTTCCAGTGAGTTTCCCTTCGTTTCCCATGAGTTTTTTTTTTCAGCTGAGCGACGATGGTGGAGTATCGCTGTCCGATGAGGAAGACCTAAGGGCCAGGATGGATATGCATCAGTTAGTTGCGCATGGTTCTATTGGAGGTGATTCACCTCCTCAAACAGCTGACCAGGTCATCGAGGAAATTGACGAAATGCTGCAGGTAAGCTCAATCAAAAAAATAGAGTACACAGATTTTTTTGAAAGTTTTGGAATAATTGGTATAGATCTGGATGTAAATAACCTGAAGTTTGGTCAAAATACGTTGAATCGGTGTTTTTATCTGCTTTCTTTCTTGGTTGAAAATATCCGAAAATCTGCTATTATTGCTTAATACCTAATAATTAGTGGAATCGTTTGTTCAAATCTGGTCTGGCTAAAGAATAATCCTAAAGTTTTAATGTGCGCTCCAATCATTGTTTGTTGCCTTTCAAAATAGGTAGAAAAGTGTCTTTGAAAAACGCTATCGCTCTCCAGAGAAAGCTTTTTCGTATTTTCCTTTCGACAGACAACTGGCTCTCAAAATAAATTTTTTCTCATAAATGGTGGCTTTAAACAATTACATTGTCTATCCTAAACAGCAAAGTATTGACTTGTTTTTTTTGCTTGGGTAAGTCCTCATTCTGAAATTCTCTGTAAAAAATCGACTTACTATCCACTTCCCATATGCCATAAATTTTCCAATGTAATTTTAGTCTTGTGACTTCACTGGCTCGATGATGACCGATCGAACAATGGAATCTGTGGACAGTATGTACTCGTCGATGCGCTCTCCGTTACCATCAGGACATTCCAGTGAAGCTGACATGAAGCTACGTCAAGCGCAAGCACTTGCAGCCAATCCAGAAAGTGAGTTTCTCACTTGAAAATGGGAAAAAAAAGAAAACCAAGAAAAACGTTGTGTTACTGTTATGGCGAAAGCATAGCACAAGAGAAGTATTGAAGGGAAATTCTGCAAATTTTCTGACTTCTCAAAATTTTTAAAAACTTTTACGTTTACAAGGATAGCACTTTGCCTTCATTTACTGGACTGTAGAGGTTGCAAGAAATCATTTTTTGACTTTAGGTACCCAAAAACTACGAAGCCCCTCAAAAGTCTATCGGTTAATTTCTGACTTTTGTTTCTAGTTTTTTTATGCAAATACAAAAAGTAAGGGAAATTTAGAAAGGAAAGTCTGATTTTCTCTACAATAGGAGGAAGCAGCATCGAACCTTGGGCAAATCGTGGCTACTGTACTGGCGGAGCCTCGTTAGCTCAGTTGGTAGAGCGTTAGACTTTTAATCTAACGGTCAGGGGTTCGAGTCCCCTACGGGGCTAAACGTTTTGCTATGGGAGGTAGACATGTACATCAGCATTGTTGGCCATAAATTCTTTAAATTTTACGGTTTTCTGCATTCTTTTTCAATACTTTCAAATGAAAAGTTATGTGTCGTTGATGGCTCTCGGAATGAATTTATGAAAAAGTGTCCACATAGATTGATATTTTACGAATCTGCTTCAAACACCTGCTTTATATGATGCCACTTTACCCGTATATTTCTTGCCCGTGTATGTAGCTGTTTAGTTATTAGCGAACCGCTGCACCGTTGGGTTATTCTATTGGTTATTTCATTTTCTTTTTTCCCATAGCTATCTAATATGCTCAAATTCGAATTCTCTTGCAGGACTCAACAGTGATGCCACTGGTAATCAATAAACTATTTTTCCTTGGTTATAGGATTGTTTTTGTATCCGAAAGCGATACGAAAACAATCTTTTGCCGACGCAACTGCAGCATTTACAGCCTTTTGCAGATTTGCGTGTGCTTGGGGAATGTGCACTTTGCTTGCTCGCTATCGCCTTTCGTAATTTTGCGGACAAATGTCATTTGAGGGAAATGCTGTAGTGGTCCAATATCTGTTTATTGTACAGTGGTGGTGAATTGTTGATGATGTGTGCTTTTGGCACTTCGTGCACATTAAGCAAGAATTAATTTTCGCATTAGGACATCTCGAGATTGCAAGTCAAAAAAGAATTTGTTTCTCACTTTTACCAAAAAAAAATTCATAAAAAACAAACCTAATTATAGCCTTACTTGGTCTATATTAATGGTAGCTTGCGTTATTGATTTTTTTTCTAGGCAGGGGCGGCGTGCGCACACGCGCCGCTGGCATTCCGTAATTCTCCGATTTTTTTGCAAAGGTACATAAACGAAAAACAAAAAATACCGTCTATAGGTACTTCTCCAGAAATACTATTTTGTGCAATCAACGGGAATTAAAGTTAAAAATTAAAATTCACATATGCGTTTCTTTCTCCCCCTTCCTCTACCCCCTCCACTCCCCTTCCCCATCCTGCTAGTATTTTCCAGAATCCTTTCTATACTAACCCTTTTCCGACTTACTTTCTAGTTGGCTGAAAGGCGCACCTGTCCTAAAAATGGAAATTTCATGAAGAAGCAGAATTTCTACAAATTAAACCATAAAAATAATAAAAACTTATTGAAGCACAGACCTAAGTTCAACTTGAATGAAGCTTTTGCCTGGCTGCACCGTGGCTGATTTTGAATCCTGCTTACTATATATTTCAGACTTGAACGAGCTGTCGTATTCGAAACTGGTGACGCTGAATGCAGAAATGGAGCAACTCATACAAGTTTATAACGAAAGCCTTGTGGATGAGCTTGCGCACAGGTAGATTCCCTGATTTAGATAGTTTTGATTTGAAAAAAAAACTCTGTTCTTCAGGGACGAGCTCGAGTACGAAAAGGAAATGAAGAACACATTCATCTCGTTGCTCTTATCCATTCAAAACAAGCGACGTCAGTTTGCAAATGAACGGAAGAGGAAAGGGGTGAGATCTTATTGTGTTGTAAGGTTTTAATGGATATAAGTAGTTACGCAGAAAATAAGCCTGGTACGGCCTGCAACGGCGCGGTTGCAAAGTCTGTTTCATTAGCGATGTCCTATTTATCAAAACATCCGCTTCCTCACGCGTCGCGCCACGCCCGCGAATGTACGGTGCGAGTCAGAAGCACGTGACGACTTCGCGATGAGAATGTATAGCTTCGATAGGGTGTCTAAGTTGGGACTCTGCAGCTCATATTGGGACATTCTTTATCGCGTAAGCTGCTATTCAGCGGGCGCCTAATCGTCCGCTGTTTAGCGTCAGTGTATCGACCGCGTCGCTTGCCGTAATCATGCTTGTTCTCTGCGTCGGTGATTCATATATGACTAGGCCCATAATTGCTTTGCATGGAAGTTCTTGCGATTTTTTCGACACCAAAAGGGTCAGAAATTAGCCTCGTTTAGATTAGAACTAGGTAACAAGATTCCATAGTCAAAAAGCATGTGATGAATCGTTTTCACTGCATGAGTTGTGTCCTTTAAAGGGACGCGGCTCTGTGTTACCGCAGTTGGTCAATCTGCCACCGGGAAAAGTTGCCTGGAAGCGACGATCGGTTAGTGCACCGAAGTGTATCTAGCTTTTTTTCTGGTGCAGTCACGTTATTCAACCTTAGATCCAACTGGCTTGGCGGCTGAAAGGCGGGGCTTTGTGACATAGTTAAGGCCGCTCGCGCCCGCGACGCAATGTGCGTCTCTCTCGCCTGCGTGCTCTCTGATCACCTTCTAGCCTTAATTAGGCCACGAATCCCCGCCTTCCAGCCGCCAAGCCAGTCGAATCAAAGGATAGTTTCATAGGATTGTTTGAAACATAACTATGGGTGAATTCATAACGCGCTGTAGTAAGAGAGCTTTGTAGTTGTTAGCAAGTATGTGTTACATTTCATTTTTAGTATTTTATGTAACCAATTTCAGACAAGGATCGATCCATCTCAATTGCCGCAGTATATGACGGCCAGTATTCCATACAATGATCATCAACATATGGATAATGCTACGCTTTCTTCATTGATAAAAAGTTAGTATTGCATTTGCATTTGATTCTGGAAATGCAGAATAGGAGATATCCTCCCCTAAGAATGTGTCCCAAAAATTTTATAAGCGCTCTCGGTATGTCTCAAAACATGCTGGTGACTTCTTATTTGATTTTATCTGGGTCAGAAAACTTGCAAAAAAAATGAGAGCTTTCTAGAAAATTCTCAAAGGGTGTGGCTCATTTCTTCTCTGAGGAGAATTTGTGTCGCCTCCTCCTTCCACTCCTCCTCCCCCACTTTCCGCCTAAAAAATACTTAGGATGGCATTATTAGAAAATCGCCAGTTTCGCCGGAAGTAAATTTTGATAGATGTCTATTTATATTGTCCAGTGGCTGTCCCAGGATTTCCGTCGGGGGGGGGGGGATTTTTTTCAAATGAAGGTGCGTGGCTTAGCAACGCACTCCGAAAAATTATTGGAACTACTCAAAATTCTTGCGGGATACAATTTTTTCAGTCAACGCTCACTTTTCCATATTGTTATCGAAAGTGTAGACCTTCTCTTTGCACCACAAGTTGCTATAGAAAGTGTTGAGCTCTTCGGTCACCTTTCCAGTCAATCTAAGCCATATGTTCATGATTTTGCAAATATTATTTAATGCATCACTGTCTTTGTACATTTTTTGAGAATGAACTTATCTCAGCTTCTACTACTGCGTAACACAACTTGAGATAAAACTTGAGACAACTTGAGACGCCTCCGAAATTTTTTACTAGTTTTGAATTTCCGAAGTTGTTGCAGTTATTTTCTACAATAAACAGATCGCTTGCACATTTATAACCCATGGTGAATTTCAAAAATTTCGCGACCCATCTCGGCGGGGGGAGGGGGGGGGGGGGGGCTCGGTCCGCCACTGATATTGTCTAGTAGATTTTAAGCAAACTAACGAGAGGAAGGATTCTGGTTTTTATTTCGTAATTTAGGAAGTTCATTGTTGTTTTAAATTAAGTAATTAGGTAAGTAAAACCCGTAGATGTTTGGAACCAGCAGTAGAAAATTTTTTTGTAAAATCTACGAAAATAGTTGTTTTTCCTTTCACCATACTTGAATTTTTTCTTTAAAAAACCATAGCTGTACCAACAAAAATAACTTTGCAGTTCTACGAGCGATCAACGATGATAGCTCTACAGTGCCTACACTACTCACCGATTACATTCTAACAGGTAAAAAAGACAACTCTTTGAAAAATCCTACCAAATTGTTTCCTTTTCAGTAGTGTGCCCAAAGACTGTAGTCTGCTAGCCCGGTGCTTCACGATCTCCATAGATCTCTATCGCCTTGTGCAACCACACATTAACTCCTACCGTATGGCGGAAATTTCTCGACTGCCCAGATATTTGGATCGGACGAAATGTTTCTGGAACATTGAATATTGTCGCTGTGCTTTGTTATCTGATGAGCAACTCGTTTCGCTTTGACAAGCCACCATGAAAAATTGCGAAAAAATTTTGGGCTTGGAAAACCGCCATCATCCATACAGTAGCTGTACCCGCTCGCCTGTAAAACCTATCGCTTCAGTTCATGACACATCAGTTATTTATACAATTTTTTCTAGGTAGGTTCGATCATAGAGAATCGAAAATTGTTTGAGGTCTGCTAAAGCTTTACCATTCACATCACATCCGACTATTCACGCTGTTCTGTCCTTTATAGGCGCATTATAAACGTTTAGGCTTTTCTTACAATGAACACCACCATGTTCATTGTGTGCGTGTGTGATTTTTGTCTGTGTGCTTGACATCTTGTTTTATCTATTACGAATATAGAACATTTCTTGAATCTCTTTAGAATCTGCACAATTTTTTCAGTCAACGCTCACTTTTCCATATTGTTATCGAAAGTGTAGACCTTCTCTTTGCACCACAAGTTGCTATAGAAAGTGTTGAGCTCTTCGGTCACCTTTCCAGTCAATTCAAGCCATATGTTCATGATTTTGCAAATATTATTTAATGCATCACTGTCTTTGTACATTTTTTGAGAATGAACTTATCTCAGCTTCTAAGAAATACTGTGTAACGCACTTTTAGACAACGAGGAGAAAAGCTGACAGCGGTGCAGTTTTCCGGTATTTTTGGTACACACTTTATTCTCCAAAGAATAAATTTCATAAAGTGAAGAAGGCGGGGAAAGCAAAGAATTAGAATAAACCAAGTCAAGCAAAATTCAGTAACATTGTTTATCCGTTTATGTACCTCCCTGTGCAAGTAGCAAGTCATGCAAGGTATGTTTCAAACAGTGAGCAAATTTGATTTTTCGGGAGTTTTAGCGTAGGCGTTCCACTAAGTTGCGGTTGCTGCCATTCACATGCTGTTGGCACATCAGCAATATTTGAGTCCCTTTTTTAGAATGAAGTTCGATTTCTACGTTTTCAAGTATCTCAAAGAGTATGAGATAGAGTGAAATTCACAATGAGACACAAAACAACATGCTACAAAAAGTAAAGATTCGACGTTGGTGCCGCTACTTTGAAGAGGAGTCGTAATAAATTTTCAGAGGGCACATCTTTCCAAAACCCCTGTACTTCCAGTCGCTTTCACTCCCACACACTGAACAAGATAATCCAAGCCGAGGGTGTTCACTATGGCAAGGTGATTCAAACAGAACTGGTGCCATCAAATCATACACACTGAGCTTACTGATCTTACGATCACCAAGGAATCTTATGATCTTATCTTATGATGCTACGATCACCAAGGAAAAATTGCTCAATATTAGCTTTTTTCTGGGAAAGCTGAAAGCTGTTTTGATAAGCGACCAAGACACTAAGAAAAAAGGCACTCTGTTTTTCTTTGACTGCTTTCAACGCTTCTATAACATATAGTTCCACATAACTACACATACTCACGGAATATTAGATATTCACTGTTCTTTCTGTGACCAAAACGTCTGCTAGGTTTGTTCCGATTGTTATTTTTCAAGAAAAAAATACGAAAACATTGCCTTTTGCATGCCGTTTCCTTACGTAAGTTATCAAGTCTCTTCACATAATTCGTGACCTACAATTTCGGAATTCCGTACCAGGGCACCTTGAGCTTCTCCATATTGAAGCCATCACCGGGGGAAAATGTCGGAACTCCCATCCTGTATGATAGAACATCGAGAAGTTTGACCAAGGATTAATGCAATATCCATTTCGCTGGTTGAGGTCTTAGAAAATCAAGAACAAACCTTTTAGAGATCTCTTTATGTTCAAAATCATGTGCATTAAATTTGAGAAAAGCCTACCAGAACTTGAGCATTCAAATGAAAATGGAGTAAATGCAAATTCTGCGCAGTCACAAGGTCTCATCAATTTAGTTTTTTCCCCTATAGCAGTTACGCAAAAAGTTTTCCCACAGAGGCACTGCATTGCTCGAGTTATCCAACCTAACAAATGGAGAAACCATACAAAGATTTCAAATGCCAAAAATTAGGTACTCCGCAAGCGAAGGTATCGCCATTTATGAGAATAGGTAGCGAACCGCATTGCAATGACCATATTCTTGCCTTTTGACCCATCTTGCGACTCTAAAGCATAAAAATTTCCCTTTTTTACTTATTGGCTGAAAACCGATAAATAAAAATGCGAAGATATAGCCTCTTTCAACTTAAAATGTTAAGTTTTTATTTTTCTCGAAATTAGCTCTTGAATGCTGGAAATTACTTATAGCATCTACAAAGTTCTATAATATAGAATTGTCTCATTCCAGAACAGTCTATCGCTGCCTAAGCTTGCTAATTTTCATTTTCCCAACTTCTTGCCGTGGAACAGCAAGTACTACATATGAATAGTTGATGCAATAAGTAACTTTGCTGAGCAAATTGGGGGCTTGTATAATCTCTTGAAAAAGCCGATTTCTAAGCAGATGAAAACTTTAATTTTCCTTACAAACTTCCGTGTATCAAAATTTTTGCGAAGCTCATATGCTATTTAGTAGAGTTTGCTTTGCTCTATCGAATGGAATAATTCATGCATTTTTGATCTTCTCTGCCGCGACAGATTGAGGAACATGAATTAATTTTGTATTGAACTTAAAGAGTGAGAACATCATGCGCATTTATCAAGTTTCTATAATGATCCTGAGCATTAGCACATTTGAAAAAAAAGACATCGATAAACCCGTTATTAGAAGACAATACTAAACAGTAAAAGGATTTTTAGCACTTTCTGATCACTTGGCTGCCACAGCCTCCTCATGTAGTCTTCTCAAAAGAGCTTTGTCAAAAACTTTTAAAGGCAGATCTCCATGTACTGTTGCGATGCCAAGCTTCCTGTCAGGTTTTGATGGGACTAGAAAGCGAGAGTCAGCACCGATAAGATAGCGAGCATGAGCATAAATCGAATCCGGAATGTTTGGATAGCGATAGATGTCTGGAGAGCTGAAAAGGCAGTATAAAAACGAACTATGAGAAAGCACATGAAGTTCCAGTTACGCACGAATATACGACTTCAACTAGGAGACACCAACTTCTCTTTTAAGCACATTATCCCGTTCCAAGCAACCATTTCAGCATTATCAGTGCACAATCGAGGAGGTATGCGAACAATTTCCAAACCATGAAAATGAGCAAGCTTGGAGATTCCTGTAACCATTTTATCTACTTCTTGTATGATTATACAGCAGAAAAATCGACCAACCATTGCAAATGTATTCGTTCGCTGCTACTCCACCACTTATGACAATATACTGAACACCATGCAGTCGATCTACGTTACGTAGGTGTTCAAGACAGTTGTGCAACTTAGACACGACATGGCGAGTAACGTGATGCTAAAAACAAAGAAATTTCCGCAATCCATACAGGAAGCTGGTCTCACCTGCACACTCGCACAAAAATCTTTAACGCTGAAATCCTCGTCTTTGGCATATTTTCTAGCGAGGTTTAGGAACGAAGACTTGAGCTGTGCAAAGTGCATGTCTGCACCTGATGTATGTGGACCCACTACCGAGTACCGTAAATAACCTTCTGGCGATGATCTGCAACAACAGTTTTGCAGTCAGCTTACAATAAACTGAGGTTTGAAAAAAGGTGTTCTTCTCCACAATGAGTTAACGTGAAAAAAACACAGCAGAGAAACAAAAAAAAACCTTCGCTACAATCAGAAAAAAAGAACAAAAATTCATCGAAAACGATGCATAGGCCTATGACGAACCCCATTTCGAAAGTAGTTTGAGGCAAATTGGTATCCGTATCTTACACGTAGGTATCGATACCGGCCTCAAGTAAATCATAACCTAAATAGTTCCTATGCCCACTTGTAGCCAAGAAAACTATCGTTATCTCTCCAAGCAACCCAACTAGGTCCGTACAATGTGCCGGCGAGGGTTATTCAGTTGAACTTCTCGGCATGAATGCATCATATATAGGCAGCGTTATATAATGCATTCGTGGGGATTTTACATGGAAAGTAATTTTGGGGCCTTAGCTAAGCCACTGCCCAACCGGCAGCTCAGGTAGCGCTCTAACAGCTGAGATATTCCCCTCGAAAGTGGACCCCGGATCGTATTCGCATGGATTCATGGCGCGACCCATAAGTTCCGCGTAGGTCCTCGCGGGTTGCGCCATGAATCGCAAATGCGAATAAGATTATCCCAGGGTCCAGTTCCGAGGGGAACATCTCAACTGTTAGAGCACTTCCTGAGCTGCCGGTTGGGCAGTGACTTAGTTAGGGCCCCAAAATTTCCACGTAAAATCCCAATAGGTCCAGATGACGCTATCTGGCAAAACTGGTATCCGCAGGTATCAAAACAGGCCTCAAGTAAATCATAACCGAAACAGTTCCTATGACCAATGATAGCCGAAGTGATCACTCTCAAATTCTCGTCCGCTACCGCTATCTTTCCAAGCGAGCCAAAGCGTCCTCAAGTACAGTGCTGGGCGAGGGTTACTCAGTTAAACTTCCCGGCATGAATGTGTCATTTAAACGCAGTGTCCCGGCGAAATTTCGCTTCCAGTTTTTCACACTTTCGGAGTTTTCTAGCCGTGAGGAATCCATACTTGATCTTTTTAATCCGTGAAGATGGCAAAAATCTTTTTCCGACGTTTCCCAGGTCTGCATTCAGTGGAAAATACGTATAAATGGACGGGGCCCGGAACGAGGAAGGCGTGGTGCAGAAGACCCCGGCGTATTTTTACTATATACAGACCTGAAAAGCTTCGAAAAATACTCATTTTCGCCGTTTTCATGCGCTGAAAGCCCAGACTTTGAATTTTCATGGTAAGAAGGCTCCAAAAAGGTGAAAAACTGAAAAACAAAATTTTGCCGGGGCGCTGTCTCTAAGTTACAGCTTAAGAAACGGCTTTGGTAAGTCGCAATCAATTTTCGCATAGAGAACTTTATATATATATATATATATATATATATATATATATATATATATATATATAGCACTGCCTTCGACGATTCAAAGGACCCTTCTTTCGTTGTAAATTGCCCAGTTTCTAGAAACGGAAGTCGTTACGGAAAAGCCAGTAGCGAATAAATGAAAAGAAAAGAAGCGACAAGAAATAATGTAACAAACGGTCTCAAAGAGTGAACTATTACCTACTCGCTAACTTCTCAACAGCAGCTCCAGGATGATCATTCAGAAACTCTGGCATTTCGTTAATTTTCAACTCTCTCGCAATCTTGTCGAGACACTCTCCCGGACTGCCTGAGGAGCTCTCACCTGGAAAGATTGTTAAAGGCAAATACAAAACGAGAAAAGTCCAACTTGCTGAGGAAAAAACCATAGATGTATACTTGAACTTACCGTATATAGTAAAGTTGCTTGGCGACCGGACTAGTACTATTAAAGCATGGCCACCAGAAATCAAAACAGATACGAAAGGGAACGACAGAGATTCACACACCAAAAAGGCAGACAAAGCATGGGCACGCATGTGATGGATGGAGATGAGATCTTTCTTATAAGTTCTAAACATTAGTGATTCAGAAGAGCTTGAACTAGAAGCTTTAGGTACCTCGACAACTCAAGACCTTTTCGTATTCCCTCCTTGAGAGCAATAACGAGACCAGGCTTCGTGGTGACTGCTATAGCATCAACATCGGAGACTGTAAAACCGGAGTCTCTAAGACATTCATCAAGTAGCCGAGGAAGGTGTTCCTTGTGCTGAAATAGATTGCTGTAAGATCAATGACGCTACAGGAATCACCCGCCATACTATTCCAGGAAGTGACTCCAGCGATTCCTGCAATTCCTGCAGTTCTTGTGACCTCGACTTCCGATGTTCCCACTACGGAGCGCTTTGCGAATACCAGTACACATTGTTTTTTCGCAATATACATTGTTGCGGGACCCGCAGGAATCACAGGAATCGCAGGAATAGTATGGCCGTTCCTGTAGTAGTAATAACGGAAAGAGTGCAAAAGTGTATTGCAGGACCCAAAGAAGAGTTAACATACCTGAAGGGCTACTTCTCGCGGAGATATTCCGCCTAATCTACGTTGTGTATCTCTGTCAGCAAATCTTTTCGACGACAATACTATCTTGTCATCCCGTACCAGTGCCACAGCCGTATCGTCGCAGCTAGAAGGGGAAGATAAGAGGTCAAATTTGCTACCCTTTGTACGCTAGTCCAAAACAGGATCGAACAGTTTCTGTGACTTGTAGCAACATGCTGATCGCAGATGTAGTGCATGCTTATTCCGCACGACTGTGCTATTTGCGGGTGTACGGTAGGTATACGATAGCAGATTAAAACCAGCAATGCCTGCATTTTTCTGCATTTTTTATCAGTTCATACTGTTGGTTCTACAAAAAGCCCTACCATGCAAGATACAGACATCGTGACCAACTCTTTGAAGAAAGTTACTAGGACCCACTCTACAATTATAAGTCTCGCAATAGATTCTACTACGCGAAATGCATGTTGGTGTTACGCCGTTCTCCCAAAATCAGAGCAAAAGTGAGCAATACTTCACCATTTTAGAGTGCCACAGAAATCGCAGGTTCATCATTTTCCCGAAGCGTTCTACCCCTTTCCTAGCTCAACTAAAAATGGCTAATGCCATCCAGCCAGCCTAATTTACAAAATGATACAAAATTTGAGATGAAATTCCAACTTTTTATCTTCGCCCACGGACTACATATGAGATTTGAATGAAGTGAAATTGTCTATCAGTTATACGTGATTATCTCGCATCCCAGCTCTTTACCTCGGAGTGAACTTCGAAGTCTACTACTTTCTATTGAATCGCATACCTGGTCTCGATGCCCAAGACAACTAATGATCTCCTCGCAAGCAAAGAACTTCGAAATAAGCAACGACGTAACATCGCAAGGAACGTTCCTTTCAAGGCTGGCAAAGTTCCCAGATCTGTGCTACAGTGCGAAGTTCCGCTCGGAACCCTGCAGCGAGCCATTTCGAAAACGCGCGGGCGTGCGCGGTCGATTCGCGGGTGGTCGAGCGTCATTCCGCTTATTGCTGTTACGCTGATAACTTGTCATGGCTACTCGAGTTTATATTGGTCGTCTCTCGTATCGTGCTTCTGAACGCGATATCGAGCATTTCTTTCGTGGATATGGACGTATCCGAGACATCGTTTTGAAGAATGGTTTTGGATTTGTGGTAAGTCGTAAAATCCATCTGGTTCTGTTTGTCCGCACTCCTTGTTTACATTCTGTACTAATTTTAGGAATTTGATGAACCACGTGATGCAGATGATGCAGTGTATGATTTGAATGGAAAGGAATTGGCTGGAGAACGTGTGATGCTGGAGTTTTCAAAGCGTGGTCCGAGGACTGGAGGGCGAGGCTTCGATCGATACCCTCCTCCGAGGAGAGAGGCCAGGTCACTTGAGTAAGGCTAGATTATAAAAAAATCTGGGCATGAGCTGAATTCCTTGTTCCTTTTTTGCAATGACATGGTCTTTTGCCGCTAGAAAAAAAAAAGGCTTATGAATACTGGGACAGAAATTTTTCCTATATCCTATTCTCTTGTGTTTTGGATCTCTTACATTTCCTTGTAGATATAGCAACTTCGAGAAATTCTCCTCGATTTTGAACACATTTGATTTTTCATTAAAAAATCTTGGCAAAGTGTAAATCCATTTGAGAGTAGTTTGAGTCTGCCAAAATGTGTAGCTTGTTTGGGCGGGAAGCTAGTTTGAGAGCATCACGTTGTAGAGCTAATATGTAGCATGAATTTGAAAAGCACTTAGGCACGCTGTATGTTTTTTGGACGATTTGGTCTGTAATTATATGTGTAAAGGGGCACGATGGGAAGCGTGTATAGAAAGATTGTTTTCCATCACTCGAGTGTAGTGTAATGGGTGCAAAAACTGGCTAGAGGTTGCTTGAAGCGTTACACAGTGGCAGTGATTATAGGGCTCAGTTTTAAGAACACTTAGGGGGTGGCTTCATTCTTTTGTCATAAGGGGACAGAAACACGATGTGTTTAAAGGGAACTCCAGCTCGGAAAATTAATCAAACTAAGTTTTCTCTATTGTGAATTAATTGGCATCATTTTCAGTTCTCGGTACGGACCTCCAACACAGACACGCCATCGCATGATTGTTGAAAATCTATCGACTCGGATTTCTTGGCAGGTGAATTCATACAGCATGATGTGTTTTCTTTAATATTTCAGGTAGTTCGCGGGTGATGTGTTCGTGTTGAGACGAGTAGCGTCGTGACTCTTTCGTATGGCGGGGCCTGGAGCACGACTTTTTTTCAATGCTTTTTGAATCATATTGGGTCTTTTTGACCCTAAATTAATCATTAACGCTAAATCTCAGCTCGTTGACGTACGGTGAGCGAGCCACTCGTGCATGACTGACGGTCGCAAATGTGCCGAACTCTGACTGACGTTGATGAGGGCGTTGGAGGTAGCGCTGCGCGTGTGGTGACGGTCTTATGGCTGCCGTCCGACGATTTCGTTCGTATCGCTTGAGCGCCGGCGGTGTCGGCACCTGACAGCAATGATTTCGCATACTGTTCGAGTTGATGTGTTCGCCGCTCTGGGTGTTTGCGAGGGTGTGACGTGACCTCCGGTTGAGACGCGTGACGGTGCCCTTTCGATATCCACCAACAAACGGTTAGTGTCATGCCCAAGAAAATGTAGTGACGCGAACAAAACCTTTCACTAGGTAGCTGATCTGCTTTTTCAAAAGCGCGATATTGAGTTTCAATGAGTTTTCTCGCATGCACAACCTGCAAGATGTTGATGTTGACACCGTAGTCTTTTTGATTTTACAATGTCTACAATCTTCGAGTCATAGGGCTTCTCAAGGCAGTGGTTCGGCATAGTGGATCCTTGGCATTTTCATGGTGAAGGTGGTGGATCTTCCAAGTGCACGTGACCCAAACCCTACCGTAAAATTCATACCCTAAATTTTGAAAACACGCTTCAATAGCCTATTATTGACGTCCGCTCAATGGGAGTGGGCAGCTGGTGGGCTTTTGAAGCGCGTTTTTTTCGATTTACCGCGTGATTCGGTGAATAGAGTTTGAGCTCCAGTGTGCTTGGAGGGTCTAATACCGAACACCACGGAACTTGACAGGGGTTTGTTTTGTCGAGCCACTGTCTTCAAGGAATAACGCACATTGAGAAGTTCATATCGCACTGGCAAAGCTGTTCGCAACCATGGCAGCCAATGAGTGTCAATTCTGCAGTTATCTCCCAGAATCACATACGCGTTATTGCTTTGCAGCTTTTGGGTAGTTACTTGCATCCTGTCCTATGACATACAGGGTTGTCCGTAAAGTATGTATACACTGTTTGATCGTTAATATCTTTCTTCCCAACAAGTCTTTTGCCTTGCTTCAGGTACCGTTTTGTAGAGCTGGCTTCAACTTAGATTTAAGTATGGAGCGAATCACCGATCTCTCTTTATCACGTTGACGACCGTGTGTATCCGCGCGTATGCACGCCCTGACCACCTTGTAGCACTTTCGTGCATCAATTTATCATGTGTAAACGAAAATTTCTCAGGTAACTTCTATGCAGTGATAATACTGGTGGCCTGGTTGTCATATAGAACACACGGCATTGCGGTAGCTGTTAAACAGTCCAAACCGCAGCCGTAGATCATCAGTCCATTTTAAGGTGGTCAAAAATGGCTCGGTCGTCAACGTGTTATTACTGTAGGATTACGACAGAAACTTGAAATATATGGTGTCAATTTGGAAAAAGCTGCCGCCTCAAAATCTTCAAAAAAAATGTGAAAACTTGTGTAATAGGGTTTTTATGGACGCTGAGTTCAATACTCAACTACTCGCAAAATTGCGAAGCTTTCTAAACGGTGTAACCGCACTTTTTAGGAACATTGAAAAAATGGCCGCTACCTCTTACCCGGCATAACTCTTCAATGAAGCATCATAATAAGTTGGGAACTTTACGGTTAGAATCAACAACTCTAATTAGCCTAGTGTAAAAGCTTTCAGGCTGTTTTGTTTCCTTATTAAGGCAAAATATGGCCCTTCATGGCTCAAAACCCTCTTCGAAGTTTCTACCGTAATCCCACAGTAATGAAGAGAGATGGGTGATTGTTCTATACTGCTCTAAGTTGAAGCCAACTCTACGAAACGATGCGTAAAGCAAGGCAAAAAACTTCTTGGGAAGAGAGATATTTACGATCAAACAGTGTATACATACTTTACGGACACCCTGTATATTGGCTGTAGCAGACGCGGTTCTGTTTGCGCGATATGAAGTTCATACAGTCCAGTCAGACAGTCGTGTGAGTCTTCTGGAAACTAGTACTTTTATAGGTGTAGGCTAAAAAGCTTGTTCTTTTGTATTTTTTCCGCATATCATTTTTTGATTTTTTTAAATTGTAAGCGAAAGGCGTAAATGATTTCGACCGGCACGATATGATCGAATAGAACTATGCTATGGAAGCAAATTTTGGTGACTATTGAGGTGACTAGCCAAGTTGCAACGCTTGTATGTTGTTCATACATTGACTAAATTTTTCCTTGTGATCTCATCAATTTCGTACAGCGCTTGCTGCTCCTCTACAAATAATTAGTCTAGTCATGGTTCAAAAATTTGGTGTGTTTGATCAAAGTTCTAGCACACATGTGAAAGGATGAAGTCTGCGGTGTCAAGTCAGCAAAACATTTTTTCACTGTTCTGTTTGGGGAGTTTCGGGAGGATAAATTTTATCTTAAAGCTTTTATTTGCAGGATCTGAAAGATCTGATGCGCAAAGCTGGATGTGAGGTCACTTTTGCTGATGCACACAAGAATGAAAGAAACGAAGGGTAAGTCTTCTTTTTCGTCGAAATCAAGCTATCACTAGCAAAGCTTGTTTTAGGGTTGTTTGTTTTGCGACACGTGAGGATCTGGAACGCGCATTGGATAAATTACAAGGCGAAGAAATTAATGGGCGCAAGCTAAAGCTGATTGATGACTCGGAGAAAAGGAGCAGCAGCCGCTCTCGTGACAGAAAACGTTCGAGGAGCCGCAGGTGCGTTTTTTAGTGTTTTGCTTTGAATTTTTGACGATTATATTTTTAGCCGCAGTCGCAGTCGTTCTCGTTCCCCCTCCCGCTCCCGAAGTCGCTCACGTTCAAGGAGCGCCAGCAAGTCGCGCTCTCGATCAGCCTCGCGCTCGCGTTCTCGCTCGCGCAGTGGCACACCTAAAAAGGAAGAGAATGGCAACTCAAGATCGAAGTCGCAATCGCGTTCAAGGAGCGGGTAAGTCCGTCCTTGATTTTATTTTATTTTGTGAACATTCTATCAATCAATTGATTTCAGATCTCGTGATGGCTCTCGCCATTCAGCGTCTCCTAATGGAAATGGCGATGGGGAAGCCGACATGCGATCACGCAGCCCTACACCTCCCAATGATGATTAAACTCTCATAAATCCCAAGTATCGGTGACTGATTCGTTGTAGATTTGATGACGTTATATTTTGTTACTGTTTTTAATGCGTGTAGTAGAGCACATGTGTTTGTGTATTGATTGTGTCGTGTTGTCGATATTGTCATGTTATATTGATTTGTTATGATAGATCTCTTGGTAATCCGTATTCCTTTTTCTAAGTTTGTGGATTTTTATTTTATAATGAAGCTTATGATTCTCACATGTGATTGGATCCTTGCTGAAAGTGCTTGTTTTATATGTGAACTGGAATGTCCCTCTAAATAATTTTTGCATCGACTTTGATATTTGGATTGGACTTATTCAGAGAGGAGTAGCGTCTTCGTAGTGGTGAGGGGGGGGGGGGGGGAGGGGGTGCGAATGTTCCTGAGTGTGAGCAGGGCCGAAGCTTTCGAGAAATAAGTCTTTTAAAAAAAGCAACCCAGATCTCAGGAGGCGAAAATCATTCGATCGCCATTGTGTTAGATATAAAGTTGCCAATATTTATTGCGGTGCAGTAGTAATTTCGGTAAATTGATTCCAAAAGGAAAACGGTTTGATGATTATTTCTGCAATTTGAGAACTCTGCCCTTAGAACAATATCATTTTTCCAGAAGAAATGTTGCAGTTTTCAAAGATTAAGTTTGGATTATCCGGGGTCACATATTAGCGTAATCGTTTCTTCCCAAAGTAGCGATCCGCTCTACACTGCAGTGGCTTTTTGCTTCTTTTCTGGAGCAAAGCTGAGATCAAATACAGTATAAAACTATATATACGACTTCTTGTAGAATCCCCTTTCTCATGGTTAGTAGCCGGGATCAAACGTCATATTGTATGACATCTGATGCACTAGCACTTGTCAAAAGGGTAATCTCCAGGAATTGATGGAAAAAGCTCACGAAATATCGTGAGATAGCAGGTCACTAAGAATTTCTTAGCAAAATAGTATAAATATTATTATTAGGTTGATGCAAAAGTAATGGCCGATTTGCGAATTCTCACTTTGACGTGCTATAACTTTCTAAAAGATCCACATTTCTGAGCGGGAAAACAGAAACAGCAAACCTTTCGCAATACAGCGCATACTTATTTATATTAAACTATAATCGGGAAGAGAAATACAGACAGACAAAGAAGGTTCTTCTGCTAAAACCTTGTTTTTGACAATTCATAACTTCCTTCAAAGTTTCTTAGTATAAATGATAAGTGGCCTATTTCGTAGCCGCAAGCCATTAGTACAAAATACAATAAAAAGAATTCGGACAAAAAAGTTTGCGAGGAAGAAAAAAAGTGAAATTTAAAATTTCTCAGTTTTTTCAACTTTTTAGTGTGCCTCGTAGTCCGGAATATAGAATTCTCTGATTTTCTACGTACTGAACAGCTGGACGTTTTTGCAAAAAACTGCTAATAAATGTACTAGTCCTACGCTTACAGGATTGGGCAAAGCCTCGGCGACTGACTTCCTCAGAAAAAATTATGGGTCATAAAATGACTGCAACAGCTACCTATGTTTAGGCGCCGATATCTCAGTCTGGATAACTTCAAAGAATACAGTTAAGTATGCATGATGTAGACAATTTCTATTACATACAACAGCTAAATTTTCGAAGAAATTTCATTGATGCGCGCTTGAATTCTGGCCGGAGAAGTGAATGCAATGAAATTCTGAATTTGGATGCGGTTATTTGAAGCTCAGTAACTTTATAAGAGATGAGGATGAGAGCCCGTTTCAAGCACCATTAGATAGAGCATAAACAGCTTCTCGACAGTTTACTACATCTATTATTAGGTTGTCCGGAAATTAATGCCCGTTTTGAATTTCAACCGCAATAAGTCATACACTTCTCGATTCTAGATAGTATGCAAAGTACCATTCGATAGAGCAAAGCAAGCTCTACAAGATGGCTATCTTGCTTTTGCAACAGCTCTTATCCACTTCGAGTTTCGAGCCAAAACCTAAAAAGACCCAGCAGCCCGAAAAATCGAAAAAAATCGTAACTGAGTTCATAAAAATCCTACAAAAATTCTTGCTTGCTCACGTTAACACTATCCGCATAAAACATTTATATACGCCTTTGCCGTATTTTTCCCTCTATTAGAAACCAAGAAAACGGAAATTTTCGTGTATTTGCCAAAGTGATGCTGTGCCGTCCCCACATAGGTAGTGGTATATTACAAACCTGTAGAAGTACAAACGTAAATTCTCAGCCCTCTACAAGCTTTAGTTCTCGAGAAATTTGAATTTTAGCTTGGACCACCTAACTAGAGAAAGCTATATTCGTTATTTCTCGAGAACTAAAGCTTATAAAGAGCTGAAAATTTGAGCCTGTACTTCTACAGGCTTGTGGTATACAACTATATATGTGGGGATGGCACAGCATCACTTTGGCAAATACACGAAAATTTCCGTTTTCTTGGTTTCTAATAGAGGGAAAAATACGGCAAAGGCGTATATAGATGTCTTATGTGGAATTTGTTTACGAGAGCAAGTAAGAATTTTTGTAGAATTTTTTTCAACTGAGTTACGATTTTTTTCGATTTTTCGGGCTGCTGGGTTTTTTTAGTTTTTGACTCGAAACTCGAAGTGGATAAGAGCTTTTGCAAAGGCAAGATAGCCATCTTGTAGAGCTTGCTTTGTTCTATCGAATGGTACTTTGCATACTATCTAGAAGTGAGGAGTGTATGACTTATTGCGGTTGAAATTCAAAACGGGCATTAATTTCCGGACAACCTAATATAAAGAAGAAGTATTGATGGAAAAAAGTTGCATTGAAAAAAGGCTTGGAAAATCGGCCATTACTTTTGCATCAACCTAATCTTATATATAAAGCTGAATGTCTGTTTGTATGTCTGTATATCTGTCTGTATGTCTGTGTGTACGTATGTTCCGAATAGAAAATTCCATTTCTGAACCGATCCGGACCAAACTTGGCACACATACACTTCGGGCCCCGGCGGGTGTCATAGGCTACTTTTCGTATCGATCGATATCGATTTTATCGATTTTTATCGATTTTTTTGCGGAGTTCACCTACGGGGCTGGGAGTGGGCAAAGGGGGGTAAGTGAGCATGGGGATTCCGAATACAATATTGGTTTCCAGGATTATCGATTACTTTTATCGATTTTATCGATTTTTTTGCAAAGTTTGAGCTACGGGGCTGGGAGTTCGCACAGGGGGGTAATCGAGCATGGGGATTCCGAATACAATATTAGTTTTCAGAATTATCGATTACTTTTATCGATTTTATCGATTTTTTTGCAAAGTTTGAGCTAGGGGGCTGGGAGTTGGCACAGGGGGATAATCGAGCATGCTGATCATCCCCAAGGGGGGTGATCAGCATGCTCGATTACACCCCTGTGCCAAATTCCAGCCCCCTAGCTCAAATTTTCAAAAAATCGATAAAATCGGTAAAAGTAATCGATAATTTTGAAAAGTAATATAGTATTCGTAATCTGCATGCTCGACTACCCCCCTGTGCAAAATCCCAGCCTCGCATGTCAAAATTTACAAAAAATCGATAAAATCGATAAAAGTAATGGACGATCCTGAAAACTAATATTGTATTCGGAATCCCCATGCTCACTTCCCCCCCCCCTGTGCCAACTCCTAGCCCTGTAGGTGAACTCTGCAAAAAATCGATAAAAATCGGTAAAATCGACATCGATCGATAACGAAAAGTGGACTGTGACACCCGCCGGGGCCCGAAGTGTATGTGTGCCAAGTTTGGTCCGGATACGGCGGAGCCGGGTAAGCCAGTAGTATATAATAAAATCAGTTAGACCAGGATCCAGTACATACTCAGATTTTTAAGCCTTCGCGTGACCCTGGTTTTGAATATGGGCTGCAGGTTACGTCGAAATTCAAAGAATCTCATTCTGAAACCTATTCTGACAAGTGTGGACAGGTATCCTGCGCTTCCCCTTGGTAGGCACCAACGAATGTTCTGGCAGGCACCAGGGCTTAGTTGCAAAGTAAGCGACTCAACTACATGTGCTTGCTCAGTACGCGTCATTGAAGGCAGCGTCCAGGCAAATTTGGACCCATTGTTTACGTGGAAAGTAATTTTGGGGCCTTAACTAAGGCGCTGCCCAAGCGGCAGCCCAGGTGACTCACTAACGGCTGAGATACACGCCTCCGAACTGGACCCCAGAATCGTCGCATGGATTCATTGGCGCAACCCATCTGTATCGCGCGAGGAGCCGCGCGTTGCGCCATGAATCCATGCGAAACGATTCTGGAGTCCAGTTTCAAGGGAAATATCTCAGCCAGTTAGACCACTACCTGAGCTGCCGGTTGGGAAGTGCCTTACTTGGAACCCCAAAATTACTATCCACGTGAAGAGCCCCAAAATTATTATCCACGTGAGATCCGCATATAGGTTTGCCTGGACGCTGCCTTTAAGTTGCCCTGTATGGGCGGTACGGAAAAAGAGGGGGCGTGGCGGAGGAAGGACTCACGGAATATCAGGTCCATTTTCTCCTTTCAAAAGCAACGTTAAGGCAAGCCACAAAGATTGTCTAGTTTTAGGGTCTGCTTGTATACTTATCCGAGTAGACTAATTTTGAGTGAACGCTGCCTTTGATAGTCTTGACTATAGCAACCGCTCTGCAAAAAACGCTTACTCTTGCGTTTGAGCATGCGTCCTGTGTTATCCTATCTGAGACTTAGTCAATTTCCCAACATCGAGAAGCCATGAATGGTCATAAGCTGCCTTTTGCTATATTTCGGCTAATGTCAGCAGGATGGCTTTTCAATCAACAAACTGAGCAAATACTTGCACCTGATACAACTTTTCGGCGATCTACAGTGGCTAGTTTCAACATCATTACCAGAATTCAGAGTTGTCTAAGTTAGCATTGTTCGCACATTCATTTAAAGGCACTGGATCAGCAGAATCCCTTCTCGAGTTTTGGTGGATTTAGGTAGTAGACCCCCAAATACACTGTAGCCCAAATCCCACTTGCCAATTCATGCGCTAAGTTGAAAATGCGCTTCAAAACTCCACCAGCCCCGCCCGTTTAATGGAAAGGGGCGGGGCTGGGAGTTTTGAAGCGCATTTTTCAGGACTTAGTACATGAATTGGCAAGTATTGGGCTACAGTGTATCTGGGGGGGGGGGGGGAGGGTCTACTACCTAAATCCATCAAGATCCGAGAAGGGCCCATTCTGCCAATCCACTGCCTTTAACAAACACTTGATTTGAAGTTCCCATGTTTTTGCTTCTTTTCTATCATTTAACAATTCATACAGAAAACTACCGCTAGCTGAACACGTCATTTTTCTTTCATCTCTTTCGTCTGTGAAATATATACCAGTGGCTCTTCGAATGTATGGTTCGTTTATGCCTCTCCCTCTCTTCAAGATTTCTGTTTAAGGCAGTGTGAATCATAAGCATTTTTGACATCCTGAGCTAAACAAACCTTCCTCGAAATTGCTCAAAAAAATTTAGATTTCATGTTGCATATTTTTTATATGGGCAGTCCTTTGAGAAATTATTCTATCCGTTATCTATTGGCATACTGTAATTATACGGTGAGGGGTCAATAAACATAGCTTCAAATCGGTCATAATTACTGTGCAGTCGCTATTCCTGCGATCGGTAGATCAGCGTATCACAATATCAGACAATTCGTCTCTATATGAGAATTACACATTTATCGAAGAGAAGAAACGATGCGATGGTATAAGAAAAGCATTCAGTCTGCATACGTGAATTTTTTTCTGCATTAGGCTAATTTGTGCAGCTTTAGGAAATCGTCAGAGCAATTTATAAATGCTTTTCGCCATTCCACGATAAAATTGGATGCTTTTCGTGCCATTTACCCTACAGAAATTTGAAAAATATCTGTTTTGTCCCTCAAATGTTTTACGTAGTCAAGACCTAGCGAATACAAATTACTGAATATCATTTTTATAATCGCGACGACGGATTCGAATGCGGTCTTTGTATCACAGGAGCATAAAACACTCATACTAAAAGGCATCACCTCAACGCATAATACGTAAGCAGAAAAACCACTCAAGTAGAGAGAAAAACCAAGAGAATGCGGTTGCCGGAAGCGCGTGCTTATCGCGCGCTGTCGCGCCATCTCACGATTATTCGAATGCCTATAAGCATATCCGACAAGAAATTTTAATTTAATGAAAAAAACTCAGTAATTCAAAAACCTGCTCCCGCAAGCCGCTCAGTGATATTGCACTTACTTTTGTTCATGTTGAGTAAAATCCGATATTTGTTAAATAAGATATTTGGCGCTCATGTAGGATCAAAACGGGTTGTTGAGTTCTACATGAAAAAAGAAATGTTTCAAGAACTTACCCAGTTGTTTAGAAAGTGATGTTCATCGACTGTCAAGTTTGCAAGCGTCGTTTCTATGCATTTTTAACTGTGCTATGTTTTGTTAAAGCCCCTTAGACGCAATGTCCAGGCTAAATCTAACATCCACTGGTTAATGCCGCTCTTAAATGAAGCCCCAGGAGAGGGGCTTCTGCATTGGTCCGGTCCTTTGATGTTGTCTTGAATGGAGATAATGGGCCTGAAATAGCCAAAATGCTATCAAGCCCCGCCCAGATCTCATCAAACTCTACCCACCCATGTACTGAAAGCCGTCCGTGCCCTTAAGACAAGATTCCCAGGAATCCGGTTTTTTGGGGTTTTGGACAATTTGAACTTTATGACTGTAGGCCACGGAAAGGCCCCAGAAATGCAAAAACATGGAAGACAAATTTTTTGTGCACGCTGCCTTTGAGATGTGGCTGTTAGTATCGTACAGTCGAGTAGATTTTCCGCTTAATATAGTGTGCTTGCAGAGAAGGTGTGCGGTAAAATTTGCGCGTAAACAAATAGCTTCGACTGTGAGCCGCAATTGCGCGCGCAAAATACCGGCAGAACTGGCACGGCTATTTATTCACGCGCAAATTTCACCGCATCTCACCTTCTGTGCAAGCACACTATATTAAGCGGAAAATCTACTCTACCGTACCACTAGCAAAGGTAGCATGCAATTTGCTTTGATTATATACCTATGATTCAGCAGAGAATGTTCTTCGAACGATCACGATAGATGATCGTCGAACAACGAATTCCGAAAAGGTGGTTGTCGAACGACGAATTCTTGAAATTTTAAACTGCAAGCAAAGTTACGATCAATTTGCAAGGCCTATCGGGGACACTATAAACCCTGAGAAATCTTTTTTGGAACGAAAACGTAGTGAGCGAATTCCACGCTGTTATGTACACAATGCTATGGCGACCGCAAACGTCATGACTCACTTCCCGACCTTGTCCTTGTGTCATAGTGGCCACTGAGCGAGATCAATCGCGATGGGACTATGAGTAATCGCACCTATTTGGTTTCGAAGTGTGCTGCTGCTAGGCAACATTCTGGCTTTTTGTTTGGAGGTGTTACCATAGCCAGACTTTCTTTCAATTGCTTCCTATTGCTTATCTTTGAGCATTGTCGGGTTCTATTTTTGTTGTTTACAAGACTTGATTCTTGAAACTCGTCTCTTTTGTATCAAGCCCCTTTTTCGGAAAGTTGATGTTAGTAAGCGCGTTGAAATTTCTCCTATAGTCGTTTCATTAGCTAGAATGTGTAACTGCACACAAAAGCATATTAGGCGTCAAGCTGGAGTGTTTGGTTGCTTTGCATCATTTTCGTGAAAAACTACGTCTTCACCACCATATGTGGAAAGAATGAAAACCGAAAAAAAAATTCTAAGCACTTCGCTCGAAAGATTCGTGTCGCTGTGGTCTTTCCCACCTTTTACGCCTGTTTAACATGTCGTGTGCAATGACACACATTAGGGTTCAAAGTGACCCGACTATGTAGCCCATGCATGAAAACTTTGTTGGCTTATTAGCACTTACAATCTCTTTTTAGCTGAATACTAATGTAAATAGCAAGTAGCAAAGTCCTTGCCAAACTGGTTTTGGAGTTCTTGGCGCGATGCCATTTACCGCATCACCGTGCAATATTGCACCGCTCGTCGCTTTTTCCAATATTGGTGCGGTTTCGCATTCAACATTGCACTGCACTTTCTGATTATTTTGTCACGGTTTGTAATCTATAGCTCCTCTACAGCGATTTTACAGGGACAGGGAAATAATAAAAAGCAAGGACCTTCCTATCATTGCTGTGAAAATGCTTCAGTTTTTGCAGCGACACTGTCTGCAAAACTGATAAAACTTTGTCAACGGTGGTTCGTCACTATTCTGACTTCTTTCGAAATTTCACAGTATGCAAAGAGAAACACTCTGTAGTCAAGTTTAAGGAGATGTCGTAGTAGAGTGTTTACCGAACTTTTTTGCCATCTTATTATTCCGAAAATTCGAAAAATAAAATAAAATTTAGAAAGTATTTTGAGAAGATAGTCTAAATCTCTAGAATATTTTAAAAATCACTGCGAGTCGCATAACTCGTCCAGGCAGCTTTCGAAAATCTCACGACCCCGTCGCCCCTCTCCCTTGCCCTACGGTCCGCCATCCGCCTACAGGAAGGAGCCAATTGTCCCAATTTGTCTTTTCAGAAGATCAAAAGAATTCTGAAGGCGAGCACAAGCATTGATTTCGAAGTATCATTCAGTATTGAGAAAACGAGAGCGATACGATAGAATTACGTTGTGCTTTTGTTTTGTAGCGTGGAACTTTATGGGGGCAGCCTAGAGCAAAGTCAGAAGGGAATGATAAAAGAGTGTAAAAGTTTATGGAACAAGAGGAGTCGTATGAAAGAGCCATGATACAAAAGATTAGATAACAGTGGCGGTCCGAGTCCCCCCCCCCCCCCCCGAGAACGGGTCGCGAAAATTTTGAAATTTACTGGACCTACAAAAATTTTGAGAGGCACCTAACAATTTTTCGGAGTGCCTTCATTTGAAAAAAAAATTTTGCTCCCCCCCCCCCTCCCGGACGGAATTCCTGCGACCGCCACTGGTAGGTAATGATATCAGGTGCACCGTTTCACATTGAGATGAACTCCTTTTAAAGCATGTAACCTGTTATATCGCTATTTCAATCTCTTTTCTTCAAACCTTATAGAATTTAAGAATCTACCCATTAAATACTCCTGCCTCTTTATTTCATAGGACTTTTGGTATCCTGCATCCCTAACCTTCTTCTCTTTTCTTCCATGTGTACCTTATCTTTCCACCATTTTTTCCTGGTGCCAAACGCTTGATGATCTGGATTCTTCGCCATATCCATCAGAGATCTTTCGATCATATCATTTACGCTATAACTTTCTCCAAATTTTTTTGGATTCGTGACTGGCTCTCAGGTGATTTGATAATTTTTTTTTCGCTTCCAGAGGAGCCATGGCGGATTTCGCAGTTGATTTGCTGAAACTTACCCCAGCTAACGAGAGCATGGTCATGTCTCCATTGTCTCTGATCGCTGCATTGGCTGTGCTTGAACGAGGAGCTAATGGAATTACAAAGAACGAAATCACTGACGCCTTAAAAAGACGTAGGTTGCTCTCTGAATAAAAAAGGGCTTTTTCCATTACTGGAGAGCTAAAATTACTCGAAAAAAATCTCGCCGTACTCCGATGTGAAAATCGCGAGCGTGAACATTAGGAAAGAGGGTTTAAGCGATAAAATATTAGGTTGTCCCGAAAGTTCGTTCGTACCATTTTCAAAAATTCATAACTCTTTAAATTCTTAACCAATTTGTACGAACAAAACTTTGCGTAAGAGAGGAACTCATGCTCTTTGCATACCTTCTCGAACTATCCTTTAATGTACACAAATGAAAGAGATAGAGGCTCAAATTCATAATCACTCAAAATTTGAATTTTTCGTGTAGGTTCATAAGAAATCGGAAACTTGCAACAAAAATCGGAGCAGTCGGTACTGTAGGTTCTTTCACCAGCCCTTTCTAACAGTGCAAAGTTTGCGCCGATTGAGCGTCTCCATGAAAAGTTATGATTTCCCTGAAAAATGCCAAAATAAATCAAATTCGCCCTTTTGTATTGCTTGCTCGGAAATCATAACTTTTCTTAGAGACGCTCAATCGGCGCAGACTTTGCACTGTTAGAAAGAGCTGGTGAAAGAACCTACATTACCGACTGCTCCGATTTTTGTTGCAAGTTTCCGATTTTTTATGACCTTACACGAAAAACTCAAATTTTGATGGTTTTGAATTTGAGCTTCTATCTCTTTCATTTGTACACATTGACGGATAGTTCAAGTACATCTGCAAAGAGCATGAGTTCCTCTCTTACGAAAAATTTTGATCGCACAAATTGGTTGAGAATTTAAAGAGTTATGAAATTTTGAAAATGGTGCGAACGAACTTTCGGCCCAACCTAATATTAAGCTGCAATAAGCGAAATCCTTTTTTTGCAAACAATTTCATAATCATCACAGCATTTGTCCGTGGTTAGCGTTAAACCATTTTTTTTTTGGGGAAATTTCTGCCGATTTCAAGTTCTTTCTTTTTCAAATGATTTTTACATCATAACATTGGTCTTACGGGAAAAGGCATGGAATGGGAACACCAGTAAAATTTCGCTGTAAAGATCGGTATATAATTTAAAAGTTACTTATGGAATAAACTCCCCTCTCCATAGGTCTTCTAATATGTCTGCCAATATTGGCACAAATTATATTTTTCAGAATCCGAAAATGACGTTTCTGAACTATTAAAGAAGCTTGATGCTGCAGATGGTGTCGCAATGGCAGTGGCTACTAAGCTTTTTCTAGCTCTGGGTATTATTCATTGTTCTAACTTTCTATTATAAATTTGGTGCCTAACAACATCAATGTGTTTTTGAAGGTATGGAAATTCGCCAAGATTACAATGACTCCATCCAGAAAGATTACAAAGTTGCTGCTGAACGTCTTGATTTTAAAGACAAAGATCGTACTATTGAGGTATCTCACTAGGTCTCTCTGTAGCACATATTACTTCAGTATTAAAGATAGTCAACAATTTTGTGTCGGAAGCAACCCGGGAAATGATTCCAAAATTGCTGGAAGACGACTATTATCGCCCAGAAACTCGTGCTTTTCTGATAAATGCCGTTTACTTCAAAGGACTGTGGTCGACGCCATTCTCATCCGATTCGACTCGTGAGGAGACATTTCACGGCATAAAGGGCGATCGGGAGGTAGAACACTTCAATTTTACCGTAGAAACTATGTGCTTATGCGTTACAATGATCAAGGACCTATGAATTGTTTTCTGCTAATTTTCAGAAATCCGTCGCCTCAAAACTCGTTTTGTTACTTATACCTCATTTAAACAAACGGCATCAAAAAGGTTTTGTTGCATTTATAATCTATTATATGCGTCTCCCTCTCCTTCGTTCCTTTATCTAGCTATACAGCTCCTTTTTTCATCGATTATTGTCAGTCAAAAAATTCAATTCCTGTTTGGAGCACCCAAACTCGATATTTTTGAACTTTTCGAGGGATGAAAATGATTTATTGTCGCGTGAGAAAGAAATAGAACTAATTATAGTCTATATTGCAAACGTTAGAAGTCTCTGCTTTCTCAAACGGTAATGGCTCCAAATCCGTATCTTGCGTCAAGTTTTCATTTTCCAAGCAAAAAAAAGATTAGGCTGTCGCACACGTTACGTAAAATCTACACGACTGCTTTCTTGAAGTTACCCTAGAACTTTGCAGATTACTACAAGAACATCTATTTCATAATCAGTATACATCTACTCGGAAATTACCCAAAGCCCAAAAAAGGTGTCCTATGTTCCAAGTTTCCGCTAACATACGATCTTACAGGAATCATTCATGAGCTATCACAGGCTGCGAGGCTGTCGTTATTACAAGGAAGACGATGCGGAACTCTTGACACTACCATATAAGGTGCTTATGGAGTAGGTATCTCTTAAGATACTTTGCAAAGCTTTATTTCCAGGACAAAGAATATGAATTTGTTATTTTCCTTCCCGCAGAAAGCAAATTCGAGGGCTTCCGGGGCGGCCTAAGTGGCGAAATCCTGAAAAAGTTGCATAAAAATGCAAGAAGAGACCGCGTTAATGTAATTTAAACTACATGATACATGCGACTTTTTGAGAACAGTACTATATTTAGGTGACCATTCCAAAGTTCAAAATCTCATCTGAACCGCCAATGAAGAAAATGCTGCAACAACTTGGTATCAGCCAGCTCTTTAGTGAGAATTGTGATCTGAAAGGTGTATCCGACAAGGAAACTCTTTATGTTGACGATGTCATACATAAAGCTGTTGTCGAGGTTTGCTTGAAAAGCATTGAGATAAAATGATTTGTTTTTTTATATCTTGAAAATTAGCAGTTCTGCTTGTTAAAGGGCGCGAAATCATTTAGTTGGGTTGAAGTAGCTGAACGGAGCTTCACCAATTGTCGGGGCGGGGGAGGAATCTTGGGGGAGGAGAAGCTTTTGGAAAGTACACCGTATTGAAACAATCGAGGTACTTTGAATTTTGCCCAAGGAAGTCGGGCTTTAACGCTCTTGGTTTCCTCAATGTCGCCTAAAAAATTCATGTCGGTAAGCGATAAACGTTTGAGCTTGTTGAGCGTCGACCAAGATACTAACCACACTTTATTCACGGTCAACGTTTCGGCGGGATCGCCTTTGTCAGAGCCTAGAAAGTCGAAAACATAAGTGAAACATTCTCCTAGACGCCAAGGTTCTAGCTCAAAACGAAAGTCAAATTGGAGAGAGGCAAAGGCAAAGGGAGATCGGGTAACCAAGACTCACCTGCGATAACGTGTGATGATGTGTTAGACCACCATATACTCAGACTATACCTCCTCCCCTATTTATAGTGCTCGGGTGACCTGACCTCATATCAAAACCCACAAAGGTATTGATATGGCGCCAGTTCATTGGTGATGGCCATGCACTCTTCCTTCCGATTCATCTTTGGATTCTTGGCGTTGATTCAGAACGCTTCCAAAGTTTTGCGCGCTAGGAGATCGGGCGTACGCTAATATAGTCACTCCAATACTAATCTTAGCATTTTCATGGCACGAAATGCGATGGCTGCCTAACGGCGTAGCTGCTTTCAGTTTGTTCAACCCATCCAGATGTTCTTTAACGCGGCAGCAAAGAGGTCGTCCTGTTTCTGCGATATACATATCACCACACGATAAACATGTGATGTGATAGATAACCCCGGAGATCATGCAATCACCCTCTTTGCCAAATGGGCAAACGACACAAGCTGGATTTAGGCATGTACGATCGTAAGATCGATTTCGGACCAATTGGCGCTTTAGGTTCGAGGGTGGTATATCGACCACCCTGACGTTGTAGGACGCAGAGTCAGTTCCAGCAGCTCGGATGCGCCACTTACCATTCGTATCGGATAAGATAAGCGCGCCTGTGCGACGATGCGTACATCTTGCGGGTTTGCAAGACGATGTCAGGGTGGTCGATATACCACCCTCGAACCTAAAGCGCCAATTGGTCCGAAATCGATCTTACGATTGTACATGCCTAACCCCAGCTTGTGTCGTTTGCCCAATTCATTTTCTCTTCGCTGTAAACAATTCTTTTGTTTATTTCAAGGCAAGTTTAACTTCGCGCGCTTAACCGGCGAACCTGTTAAAACGGAAATTTTTGGTTCTTGCAGGAATGGGATCGAAAAGGCAGGAATGACAGTTTGGGTCTCTCAAAGAAGGTGAAGGGTGACATAAAAGGGAGAAAGTGATTATCATCGACCAATCGATGATTCCTGATACCCGTGCTATATGACGTCATAGCCGAGTGGGCGGGCCATGTCTGCCATGCGTCCACCTGGGAGGTCTCACCTCACTCTTGATCATACGTTGACCACCCAAGGTCACAATCTCACGCTCTCGGTTACAGTAATCCCAATAAACCACTGAACCACCATTCTTGTTGTCTACTTCACAGTTTTACATTGCATACCGAGCCAAAACCCCTCGAGGAGTCTACACCCGCTAATAGTGATTGTAGGAGGGAGGTGGGGGGGGGGGGGAGGTGGCTGCGGTTTTTGTAAAAGATGTCCCCCCTTACTTTATATTCCAAAACGACCACTTGCCCGTAGGCCTACTGTGCCGAGCCCTGTTAGGAAGTAATCATTTGAAGATAATATGGCTTATCGTAATCTATTTTACCTTTGCAAATTTTCAGGATGATTTTTTTCATACAGATTCTGCGCTATTGTTGTGAAAATTTGTGAAAAAGTTCTAGTCTTATTTTTTGAAGATGAAAGTATCTGATGATTTTGTAGGTAAATGAAGAGGGCACAGAAGCTGCAGCAGTAACTGGAGCAACGATGATGCTGACAAGCATGCCAATGGATGAACCCATCGATTTCCGCGCGGATCGTCCATTTGTTTATGGAATCTACTGTGGTGAAGAACCGATCTTTATAGGGCAATACTGTTAACAATAGCAATTGTTTCATGATTTCTCAGAATTTTTATGGTAATGAGATCCAGTTTGTGCTTTGTTCGTTGCAGGCAAGAATTCTTAGTTTGCAATTTCGATCATTCGGATTTTACAAGCCAGAAACATTCTCAACTTTCACAGTTTGCATATCTTGATATACATATTGTGCAGATTTGTAAGGTTCTAAATTTCATGGAGATATAACTTGAGTCAAGTCTAGAAGCTTTTACTCTTCATTAACTCGCGTTTGTGTCAAAGAATAAGATATAATTGTGTGTGTCTTTTGACTATTTCTAAAATGAACGCGATCATAATTTGAAAGTTATGGCCAGGGCCAAGCGTGGGGTGTGGCATGCCACACCTGGGGGGTCGAGGAATCAGGGAGGGGGGGGGGAGGTCGTTATGAAAGCCTCCGCAGTTCGCATAACATGATATTCGTTAACAATGTCAAATAGGCCCATCATGCAAAATACTAGCGCATTGATGCTTGACCCATTATCGTATACGTACAGTAAGCATAATCAAAGATCTTTAAAGCACAAGAACGTCGTTTTGTAATCAGCAAGTATAATAACCCCTGTGGTCCAAGTTTCAGCGAATTCTGAGGTTTCCAAGTACAGGACCACCTAAATGAGATGGTCGTTTTCAAACATGTTACATTGTTTCAAAGGTGAGTTAACTATTTCTTTTTCCGCCTAATACAAAACTACTATTTCTTTGCTCACATTAGGAATCCTACTTCAAATGACCTCAAGACTGAGAAATTAAGAGCAAGCCAAAATCTCATTTGTTCCATTTTTCATTTTCAATATCTCAGGCTAGAGAAGACCAATCAGGCTCAAATCACTTTAATGTAGATTACGAGACTTAGGCTATCGAATATAACATTCTTGTCGCCTTCCCTTGCGATTCACGTAGTAGCGCAGACTTAGTATGTTACCGTATCTCAATTTTTCGCACTATTTTACCAGTATTTTACATTTGCATAGGTAAGGAAAACGATTATATCTTGCTCTTGAAAGAACGCTTTCATATGAAATTTCTGCTGTGTAAAGAAGAAGGTCAAGCAGTAATAACGATATAAAAAACGCAGCTATTTGACTTGTTTAAAGGTAAGTCAATGAGGTGCGGCACCACCCCTAAAAGGCTGTTGCAGCCACAGCTTTTTAGGGTTGGTGCCACACCCCATTAACTATATTGAAAAAACCATCGGGATTTGAGCCTATTTAGTCTTCTTAGTTCTGAGTAATATTTGGTGAAAGCACAGCCATTAAAAACAAAAATAGAAAAAACAAGATAATGGTTGGCTTCTAATTCCAACTAAAGTGGCCAAAGAAGGAGTAGTGCTTTGTCTTGAGTGCAAAAACGCTAGCTATTTCACCTTTGAAACAAAGTTAATATGCTAGAAGATGGCGATTTCACATAGGTGACCCACTATCTTGAAACTTCATTCGCTCAAACATTGTCTACAGGGGTTAATTGACATGCTAATTATGGATTGTTGCCCGTTGTGTTTGACAGGGCCTTCAAGTAATGCTATCTTAGGTGTATAGTTCGGGGGGTCTTATTGAGACAGCAATAAGAGGGGGGGGGGAGGTTCGTAATCAGCGATCGTGTGCCACACCTCTTGCCTGACCCTGGTTACGGTAAGGATTGCTCGAGGATAGGTGAGCTCAGCGCAATACTTAGAGTAATAAGAGTCACCATGGATCATTTAGGTCAGCGGTTACAGAAAGAATAAGTTTTGCTTCCACCATTTTTTACGACGTCTCAGTACTTGGTGCTACTTACCAGTCAGTCTTGCTATCTGGCGCGATGAATTTTTCATACCTGTAAAATAAAATTAGTTGCTGAGAAGACAGTGCCTTCACGTGAATTAAAAAAAAAGACGGTGTACGTTGTAAATCGCGGATTTATGCGAGATTAGCATTTAAACACACTAGCAAGGTTATGCAGCTCTGGATGGTTTGAAGTTATGATCAGGTAAGAAAAATTCCGTAAGGATACTAGCAAGGAACGTCTTTCTAGTCGAAAACTTAGCAGCGTTTTTAGATTGAAATACTGACCAACTAACACAAAATCGTACAGAATTGCTAAAATGGTTCACTGTTGATATCAAAGCACTACATTTGGTGATTACGTTCTGTCATTTGTACCCAACACTGCTCTGTTTGAGAGCTGAAAGGCTGTGACAGGTTTCACCTTACTTACTTAGATACTTTGATGGCCCGTCCTCATGCGACTTTAGTGTTTCTAATGTGCACGTTTCGAAAGAGCGTGAAAAGTGCCTTATAAATATTCTTGACTGCCTTGCAATATGGTTAGAGAACTTCAATTTGAAATCAACTAAGGCTGCGTTTATACCGATCCCGAAGTCCGGGAACAATTCCAGCAGAGTGCTCGAATTGAGCGCTGTGCTGGAACTGTTCCCGGACTTTAAGATCAATATGAAGCAGCCTAAGACTCCAAGATCTCTGACCGTATCGACACTACTGAACGGATACCTTTGACTTTATAACTTGGTTGATCCATGTCACCCATATGCAATAGCATACACTTATCTGTGTTCAGGTCGAGTCATTGCTTCTGGTCCAATCAAAAACAAAATTAATGGCATTTTCCAGCTCATTATGCAAATCAGAGAAAGTTTCTTAACTGTAACTATCGTATATTTTGATGCCATCAGCATAAAGCTGGATTTTTACTTTACCAAAGCATTTGAACGACGGAATCAGGTTCATTGTAAATCAAGAACAAATGGTCTCATTTTCAGTTAGGATTTACATCATAAATCACTTTCAGAGATTTCCACTAACGCTCAGCCTAGTTTAAGAAGTATAGATTGAGCAACTTTATCAAAAGCTTCGGAGATGTCGAGATAAACGACATTAGTTGAAAGCCCTGCATTTAATGGTCAATCATGTAAACATTCAATAAGATTTGTTTTTGTAGAACAACCCGCCAGAAATCCGTGCTGTTCTACCACTCAGAACTGGGAGCGAACGAGCCGCAGCCCTTTTCCGGCCGGAGAATTGGCCGCGGCTCGGCCGGAAAACAGCCTCGGCTCGTCCGCTTTTGGGCCTAGGCTTAGCCGGAGCTGGTTATCGGGCCGTCTAGATCATTCTAGCTCGGATGCAGTAGAACTGTTTTTTATTCACTGGCACATAGAATATATAGTAAAAAAACAAAGATTGAAGCCACCGATATAGCGGCTTGGAAACCAGGTCTGATTTCAGAGTTGGACAACACAAGATGCTATCCAGGATTGTACAACATCTTGATCTTGTTCCCGCCTTGGAGACTGGAAAGACGTCCAAGGCTATGGACACTGAGGGCAGCCTGACCATGCGTCGTACATCACGCAAGTATTCTTTACGCTCAGATTCTGGGAGCGGCCGAGCCGCGGACTTTATCTGACATGGGCCGCGGCTCGGCCGGAGTTTCATTATAGAGATTTTGGTCCGCGGCTCAGCCGCTGCAGTGCTCCACCCCATCATTAAGGCCGCGGCTGAGCCGGTAAGCCATATTCAGTCCGCTGCTCGGCCGATGCAATGATACTGACATGAATTAAGGGCGGCGGCTCGGCCGCACTCCGGCCACGCCCGTAAATTAAGGTCGCGGAAGGGCCGGAAAGGCCTTCTGGGGCCGCTGCTCGTCCGCTCCCGGTGTCTGAGCAGGAGATTGGTCTTATTAATCCAAGAGAAAATTTTGTCTCTTATCAGTTTTTCCATTACCTTCACTGGGGTGGAAGTCAAGCTAATGGGTCTAAACTCAGAAATAATGTGCGTTGGGAATCTTTGGACTTGGTACTGCAATTGCTTCTTTCCATATATCAGGAACTTGTCCCACAAGCACAGAAATGTTGAAAATGTGGCTCAATGGTTTTCACAATGAAGAAGCACACTGTCTGTAAGCTATTGGAGGGATGCCGTCAGGTATAGACGTTATTGGCTTCAGATGCTTCAGTATATATCGTATAGCAATTGTTCAAAAAAGATTATGGTACATATGGGTTTGTAAGAATGCTCACAAGGGAATGGTCAGAAGTTGAAGTTGCCAATCCATACAAGCTGCATATATTCGATGCGGCATAGAACGCTGGTTTCAGATCTGTCTTTCATATCTGCAGAGCGCCTTTGTAGGCGAAGTTATGAGCACCTTTTTGAGAAAAAATCGTACACAAAAACTGCGAAATTAGGCACATTACTGCTCTTTTAGCTCATCGCTAGGTATGGGCCATATGAAGTGAAATAGTTTCATGTCTTGATCTAGCACTGAGCCAACAATGGCTCTGTACAACCAAGTTTGCCTTTTACAAGTACGATCTCTTAGCAAAATGATGGCTTTTAACGGCTTATAATTTCGTCCACAAAAGTGCTCTGCAGATAAGGAAGACAGATTTAGAGCCAGAGTTTTGTGCTGCAACTAATGGAATGCACTTTGCTTGAAATGGTCACTTCGATTTCTGACCATTCCCTTGTCAGTATCCGATGTTCTATACAAAGCTTTTCCTGTCCGTGCCAAACAATGTGCCTAGCGAGTCCTTGAGAACAGGCATGGCTTGCTGGGACTTAGTTTTGCGGCGGGTATATTCAAATAAATGTTTGAGATTAAGACAAACGGCCAATTTCTTTTCTTTATTAGCTTTATTTCTTTCTTTTCTTTATTTTTTTTTTAAGTGGTGATCAGTATCAGGGCAAACTTTTTTGTACAGAACACTATTTGAGGGACTGTCAAAAGATTCGAAGATACGGATTTTTGAGCAAACAACCTTTAAAAATGAGCGGGGTAATTTATCTCATTGTGAAAAGTCACAACATTTGAAGGGACAAACAATGCAAGAGCAGAATATACCTCACTACAAAATCTACGATAAACATCGAAAATGGAGCGATATCCATTAAAGACGCGAAACCAATCAATACCACTCAGGAAAGAATTGCAAAATTAATCAACGTGAGAATAATCAGGCAAAGGCAAGATCTTTTGGGAGTTTCTTTTTTTGGTAAACAAAAAATTTGACAACCTTATAATCGGAATCGGAGAGAGGTGTGGAATTGACAGATCAAAAATGTTTCTAGAAGACGAGGATATAAAATCCAAGACAGCTTCTTTGTAAGTGGGAAGCGTCACGAATGGCATGAAACTGTTAGAATCAAATATGTTCATAAATTCTTCGCTACTGCATTCCGCGGAGTTTTTGCAGTCCAGT